CTCCAGAAGCACGGCGCTGCTGCAGAGAGCGGGACAGGCGCGCTCCGACCCCGGCTCCATCCCTTATTGCAAACGAGCATCCGTGGAGATAAAGCTGCAGGGACAAACAGGATGTGACCCCCCCCCCCAAGACCACTCGTGTGCTGTGCGCTGGTGGCATCACTGCCCTGAAGGAAGAGGGGTTTGGTGCAGTATTACACAGGGACGAGGAGTCTATCACCCAAGAGCATCTTCCCTGGCTGGTCCCTCCGCTGCGCTGCAGAGCAGGGGTGGGCTCAGCCAGTGTGAGCCCCCATCACCACGGTGCCGTCCCAGAGCACAGCGCAATGAGAGGGCACAGGGCTGGTGTGTCCTAGGGTCCTGCTCTAAGCCTGGCCCCGTGGCAATGAGACACGGTCCTTGTGGAGCAGAGGGTTGGGCCAGCACGGGCACGGCACAGCACCAGGGTTAGCCTTACACTGACACAGATGCCACCCAGAGATGCCACCACCTCGGTACCATTCGGTCTCAAGCATTTGAAAGCAGAGCAGGGACATTTATTAACCTATTCTTTAACTCACCATCACTCCCATCTCAGGAGCCAATGGGACCTCATCCTGCCCATGAGCACGCATGAAAGCAGGTGCAGCCCCATTGGGGGGCACAGCACCCATCACCCCACTGCAGAGACCCCCCCCCCACCCCACGACCCCCATTAGTGGGCTCCATGGGCTGTGGGTGCTGCTGGGTGCAGTGGGAAGGGGGGGCACACGCTGCTCAGCACAGTTGGTTATCGTTACGTTTGGCATCACTCGCTTCCATTGGGCTCAATAGGGGAGGGAAGAGAGAAAAAGGAAAACTCAGCTCAGGGCGATTTAATAAGTTCAGCGTTACGAGCTGGGGAAAAGCTGTGGAACACACAAGTGGCAACGCAGGATTAATCTTCCCTTTAGTCTTGGGAATTATGTTTTCATTAATCCTAATTTTTCCAGATGTTTCACTCCTTATACCACGCTCTTCAAAGCCTCTGTGGCTGCAGATTCGAGCGGAGCCATGAGAACATTTTAGAGCGAAAGATTCAAAGCTTAAATTGCTTCCTTTTTTTTTCTAAATTTTTCTTTTTTTTTTTTTCTTTTTCTTGGGGGTTTTTGATTTTTTCTCCCCCTTTTTCCTCCCCCCCCCCCGGTTTGGGCTGTCAGGGAGTTCATGCGTGTGCGGTCCCAGCGCCTCCACATGTTGTGTTACACAATGTGCTAACAAGATGGAGAAGGCCACTCGGACCGCGTGATGCCGGGGTGACGTCTGTTCCCCTTTGTCGTGTGCATGTGTGTGTCCCCATCCTCCCCCCCCACACACCCCAATCATCCTCGGTAGGACCCGGCTGGGAAAGGGGGGGTCTGGCCCCCTGCCCACCTCCTGACAGGGTCGGAGCTGGACGGGAGCTTTTAAAGCGCTCGTGGTGCTCGCTTAGACGCCAGGAAGGGTTTATATGGGATCTACAGAGGGGATGGAGACGGAGCCAGGCGTAGCTCCATGTGGAGCCTGGTTTTCCAGCAGGATCTGTAGGGAATGGGGAGATCTGTGGTGCTCCGGGCTCAGGAAAGCAGCTGGAGCGGGGCGATGGGGAGAAGAGCGATGCCAATCCCTCTCCATCGCGCTGCTGGGATGCAGCCGGAGCTCCTGCTCTCTCCTGCTGGGGTACCAGCACGTTGCCATAGGGTGGAAGGCACCCATCCGCGCCGCTGCCGCCCCGCCATTCCCAACCCTCACACCCCTTCGGACTTCTCCATCCAACCCCATCCCATGCCGGCAGCAGGATCCGGCCACCGCCACCAGCCGGCTGTGCTGAGCATCCTCCTCCTCCTCCTCGCCGGGAGCCCTGGTCTGACGCAGGAGGTCAGACAAGACGATCGGAACAATCCTGCCGGTCTCCAGCACCCGGGATTCAGATCCATGTACTTATATGGCCTGCAAAACGCGGCGGGAGCATGACCAACGTCTGGAAATCCAGATATGACTAGATCCCTTCATCAGTAATTTCTTGTACATGACTTTCTAGACCATAGGGATTTGTTAAGCTTGCAGGAGTGTTTTCTCACAGTGCCATGGACTGGCTGTTGCCAGCATACATTGGCTCGGATCTGTCGGATCCTGTTGCCTTATATGACCCTCGGTTAATTCAGCTTTCCTTTGTATGCAGCCCTCAGCAGGGAACTCCTCGAGCAGCCCCAGCGTGGATCAGGCTAAAATGGTTCCCCGAGTCCTCCTGCCATAAAACACAGTGAAAGGGGGGATGTGGGGGGTGGAATTCCATGCTCCCCTCCCCACCACCCCAGCCAGATGCTTCCTCCATCCCGGCTCCGAAAGAGAACTCTCTGTGCCTGGATAATGTTAGTGGAGAGACCCGGACCTTCCTCCCTGCGCTGGGTTCGTGCTGTGAGGACCATGGCATCCCTGCACCATGGGGTTAATCATTTGCTGTCCTTGGGGGTGCTCTGTGTCCAGGGGGGACTTTCACCTTCCCAGCGACCTCTTGAAACTTCGCCCTTCTTTTATGGGTGCCATAAAGGTTGCTCTTTAATCTGCATCCCGGGGGTGTTTTCCCTCCCTCTCCGCAGTGGGGTGTTTGGTGCATCGCTGCTCTTTGCACCTGGCCTGGACTGGGGAGCAAGGAGGCTAAACGGGATGGCCTTTTTCCCTAAGGGAAGGGGATGTGGTACCCAACAGCTTGGCAAAGGAGCGTGGTGGTGGTTCGTCCCAGTCTCCATGTGCTGATACAGTTTAGCCTCGTGGTGGATGCAGTAGAGCCAGGTGATGGATACAGAAGGGATGCAGGAGGGATGCAAGAGGGATGAGAGGGGCTGCAGGTCAGGAGGGAGCCCCTCTGTTGGCTCTGTTGGGAGCATCCCAAATCCCCATGTGCTGCCAGAGCAAGGTTTCCAGGTGGAAAAGGAGCACGTGTCCGAGGACATCCTGCTGAGCCTGCAATTCCCTATCTCCTGCTGAAGGAGATAAGGAGTCGTGTCATCTCCGGGCATTGAGCCTGTAACCCTGCTCTGCTGCTTCCCTGTGCGTGCCCCAACATCGTGCCTGCCAACCCCAACCTCCTGTGTCCCCACATCTCTGCCCCTTGCCAGAGGTCTCAGTCACATCCAGGGGGCCTTTTACATCCCAAACCTCCCAGCTCAATGCTTGCCCTCTCCAGTAGCCCTGGGATGCTCCAGCATCTTCCTCTTCCTTCTCCTCACAGGAGGCCGCTTGTGCCACTGCCTTGAAATCTTCAAAGCTCTGCTTTGTAAACGCTCTGTTCAAAGCTTTTTCTTTGAGCATCTTATTTAACCTCACTTTAAAAGCCCCAAACCAAAGCAGGAAGGGGAGGGCTGAGCCACTGTGGGGATGCAGGAGGGGAGCGAGAACACAGCACCGAGTGCTCAGCAGTGAGCACCCCAGTGCTTGGCACACCGAGGGGAGCCCTGCCCTTGCTTTGCATGCAGCTCCCTCGCTCAGCTGGGATCAAAACACTTCTCCCAGCCCTTTAGGAGCAGCCTGGCCCCTCCATTTTGGGAGCACTTCCTGCTCCAAGCATCACCATTGGGTTATATCTGACCAGCCATCACCCAAAGAGGTTTTAATGTGCCAGGCTGTCCCCTTGAAAACCCCTTTGTGGCAATGAGAGCATCCTGCCTACTCATCCCATCCCACCCCCAGCCATGCTGGTGGCAACAGAAAGAGCCATACAGCACCATGGGGACCCCGGCCCCACATTTCCTTGGGCTCGCTGTGGGAGCATCCACTGCCGTGAGCATCCCCATCCGTGCGGCAGGGACACGCAATGGGCAGACCTAGAACCATAGAACCATACAACGGCTTGCGTTGGAAGGGACCTGGAAGACCATCCCGTCCCAACCCCTCTACAAAGCATCCCAGTTCCCATCCCTCAAACCCCGCAGCTCCCACCACCACCGCCGGGTGCAACACAACCCTTCCTCAACACCCCCCCTTCACAAAGCACCTCCTCCTCCTCTCCATTGCCCTCATTTCCAGCCTCTTGGGGTTGCAATCGGGCCCGGGGAGGGGTTGGCAGGGGAGCCTCGCACACATTATCCAACAATTGTTTCCCATTTTGCGCCCTCGCCTGCCTCATCCTCCACTAACAATGACGAAGAGCGGCGCGGAGCCAGCGCCCGCGGCAGGGGTGTTGAGATCAGGGACAGCACAAAAATATCTCCTCTCTGGAACAAATATTTACCAACCCCTCTGCCTTTTGTTCTTGTGGTTCTCAGAGATGGCTTCTTCTTTGCCTTTTTCTTTTTTTTTTTTTTTCCCCTAATTTCTTTTCTTTTTTTTCTTTTTTCTTTTTTTTTTCCAGACATTTCACTGGCAAAAATGTCACTAAAGCAGCAACCCAGAAACTTGGGGGGAGCCGCTTGGATGCTCGGCCCTTTGTTTTTTCTCTTACGCTTGATTGTTAATGAATTTCCAGCCATTGAAGCCAACGGAAACCTGTGAGAAAGTGAGCTTTGGGGTCCTGAGATTGGAGCTCCCTAAGATCCAGGCAGCTGCTGGGTGAAGAAAACGGGCATCATCCATAGAGTGGGGTGATGGCAACACCAGAGCCCTTCCGGGTGGGATGTGGCAGAGCCAGATTGGGAGCTGGGGTTACCCGAGCCTCCAGCATCGCTCTGGGGGTTTCAGTGGTGTTTCATCCCTGTTGGCAGGTAGGGATGGGTTACATGGGGGTCATGCCATGGTACCCGCATCCCTGGTCCTTCTCTGCTCCATGGCAGGTTTTCCTTGTTTCTCCTCAAAATCATCCGTGTTTTATGGCGGCCAAGCGAGAGCACGTGGGTAATTTATGGGCGTTGTGTTTGAAGAAGGGAAGGGGAAAATCTCCTCTTCTGGCGCATAAACTTGTATCTTTGGTTAAAAATTAACCGTGGCCATAAAACCCCTGGTGCCGGAGGGAGTGGAGTTCACCCTGAGAGCGCTGCCGGTCACTGTCCCCTCCTGTCCACCCCAGGATGGCCCCGACACCATCCACAAGCCCCCGCCGCCTCCTGCCCCTCTCCCTGGGGCTCTTCCAGGCTGCTCTGCTCCTCTTCTTCACCCTCTTCGTCACCTACGATGAGCCCTCAACGCAGGCAGAAGATGCCAACTCAATGGCCAACCGTCTCTACAGCATCTTCCCCTTCTTCCAGGACATCCAGGTGATGCTGGTGGTGGGGCTGGGGCTCTTACTGACCTTCCTGCCCCGCTATGGGCTCAGTGTCCTCACCCACAACTTCCTCCTGCTCAACTTCTCCACGCAATGGGCGCTGCTGCTGCAGGGCTTGCTCCATCGCCTCCACCACGGCCAGGTCCATTTGGGCCTCCACAACATCCTCACTGCAGAGTTCGCTGCTGTGACAGTGCTCATCTCCACGGGGGCCATACTGGGGAGGACCAGCCCCTGCCAGCTCCTCGCCATGGCCACGTGTGAAGTCCCCATCTACCTCACCAGCGAGTGGGCCATCGTCACCCATCTGGGTGTCCTGGATGTGGGGGGCACCATCACCATCCACGTCTTCTCCTGCTATTTCGGCCTCGGCGTGGCCAAGGCTCTGTTCAGGGCAGCACAGCAGCCGGGGCACCCCAAGGAGACCCCGACGCCCCGCTCGGACCTCATGTCCCTGGTTGGGATGCTCATCCTCTGGGTTTTCTGGCCCAGCTTTGTGGCTGTTCTCTGCCAACCGGGGGATGCTCAGCACCGCGCCATCCTCAACACCCTGCTGGCCATGAGCGCCAGCGCCGTGACCACCGTGGTGGCCTCCAGCCTGATGGAGAGGGATGGGAAGCTCAGCCCTGGCCACCTACAGAACGGCAGCCTGGCCGGCGGGGTGGCCATCGGCGCGGTGGCTGACATGGCCATGGCACCAGGGGCTGCCCTTGCCTTGGGGAGCCTCTCAGCCATGATTTGCCTCCTTGGCTTCAGGTTCCTCACCCCTCTCCTGACGAGGAAGCTCTCACTGCAGGACCAGTGCGGCATCCACAACCTCCACGGCTTGCCCGGCATCCTCGGAGCCGCAGCCAGCGCCGTGGCCATCCTGGTGGTACCCGATGTCCCCGCCGGGTACCACTTCTCCCCCATTGGAGGCAATGCCACCGAGGGGGTGGTGATGGGACGATTCGGGGGCCGTGGGGCAGGGTGGCAGGCGCTGTGCCAGGCAATGGGGCTGGTGCTGGCTGTTGGTGGCTCGCTGCTCGCCGGGCTGCTCACCGGTGCCGCGCTCCGGATGCCCTGCCTGGCCCTGCCGCCGCAGCGGCTCTGCTTCGATGACTCGCTGTATTTTAAGGTCCAGGAGGAGGCTGAGAGCACGAGGATGGGCGGCACCAGTGAGGAAGGGGCTCTGGCAATGAAGGAGCAGGTTTAGGCACTGGGGTGTGTTTGCAGATGAGGGTTTGGCCCTTTCCGTCCCCATCGTTGGCAAGGAGGTGCAGGCAGGAGGTGCTGCCTGCTCCCAGTCCCTGCCCAGCTTCTGAGGATGCTGGCAGAGCCAGGACAGCACCATGGCACCAATCCCTCCTCCATCATCCCACCCTGTGGCTGTGAGCCCCCTCCTCTGCCCTGGCTGCTCCCAGGATCCATCCATTCCCAGCAACAGCACCCTCCGGGTGTTCCTCATTGGATGGACGCTAACCTGGATGGCACCACTGCAGGGCACCAGCACCGGCTGCTTCTCTCTCCATGAGCAGCATCACCCATGGTGCCTGTGTCCCAAAACTCAGCTCCGGGATGGGGGCTCAGCATCCACTGCCTGCCGGGTGGAAATGCTGCAGTGGGGTGAGGTGGAATAAGATGAACCGGCCCCAAGAGAGGGGTTTTGCATGGATTTGATAACCTTTGCTGGGCAATCGGCTCTCCAGGGTATTTTGCCAAGGGAGGCACCAGCTTTTTCACCACCACGGCAGCAAGCAGCGATGAGGATCCAGCCCCAGCACAGCGAGGAGCCTCGGAGAGAGCCAGGAGGCACCCACACCCCGCAGCACCCTCATCCCACCCCAAAGCTGGGGCCGGGAAAGCTGTGCCAGCATCCCAGGGCGCTGCGAGGCCCCGAGGAAGAGCCGCAGTCCCATCCCATCCCATCCCATCCCTCCCCGGGCAGCGAGCCGCTTCCACCCCGCGGAGGACAAAGCCTGCGGTCCATCGCTGGCATGCGGCGAGCGCGGGGCCGCATCCTGCCCGCAGAGCAAGGCTGTGATTCACATCCCCCTCCATGAGTCACCGCTGCCCCTGCGCTGCCACGGATCCCGCTGCTGCACAGACAATGCCAGGGACAACCAAACCCCCCGACTCCCCCCTCCCAGGGCTGGCCACAGGAGCAGGGGGCTCTCGGCATGGATGGGGGTACCCCAAAGCCAAGGCGATGGGAGCAGGGCTGGAGCCGCTCTGCCCGGCACGGCCGCAGGCGGAGCGGCGAGGAGAGGGAGCGATGCTGGGGAATTCGCCCCCCCAATAATCACATCCAGGCCCGGGGGCCCGGCGGCTTTGGGGAATTGTTAGAATAAAACATTGCCGAGCTCTGACAAAGCGCTCCTGCCCCCCAGCCCCAACAATGGGCCCCGCGGGCTGAGCAGCGGGGCCGGGGGCCACGGTGATGGGAGGCAGCGTGGTCCCAACCCCCCCGGCCTCCAATACAGCCCCCAGGCTTCTCGGCCCCTTGGCGTGGATGCATCCCCGCGTTGGGAAGCATCATGAGCATGGAGCAGGGTCCAGCTGGGCCCCTCGCCCCTGCCTGGCTCCTGCTGGGTGTCAAGAGCCATTGGAGCCAGTGCCCGCCCCGGGATGCTGCGATACCATCGGGGACAGGGATCGGGAGCATCCAGCCTGCGAGCGAGCCGGCGCTCCCGCTGAGCCCGGCATCCCGTCCCGCTGCTTCCCCCCACGCCGAGGCCTGCCGGCTCCACCGGCTCCGGTGGTGGCATTGAGGGCTGCAGCCACCCCATCGGGAAGCAGCCGGGGAAAGGAATCTTGTGCAGGCCCCCGTGCGTGTGCAGGGACATGTGTGCACACGTGTAGTCATAGAACGGCTTGGGTTGGAAGGGACCTCGTCCAGCTCCAGCATCCATGTGTGCACGCATGAACACACACATCCATGCATACACCCATACGCATGCATATACTCATGCATGCACCCGTACACTCTCACACAGTCACACATGCACCCATGTACATATATACACACATGCACGCACAGCCCCGAGGCTTGCATCCCTCTTGCTGGCTCCGGAGCAGCATCCAGCATCCCCATCCCTTCCCAGCCTCCTGCCGAGCAGCCTGCGGCACCCAGCGGGAGAGCAGGCGATGGGGATGCGGGGAGGGAGAGCACCCGGAGCTGGGCCGGGGCACATCCCTCCTCTGGGCTGGCACATCCTGGCACAGGCACCCCAGCACGGCGCTGCTCAATCTGGTCTGCAGATGCCTCCAGCACCGGGACGTGCTGCGGGGTCAGCGCTTCCCCACTGCCCACAGAGGCTCAGGCAGCTGGTATCCCATAGCCGGGGCAGGACCCACCTGGGACACAGCACGGCTCCCAGCCATCCCCATCCCATGGGATGCGCTGTCCTGCAGCTGGAGCCGGGCAGCGATGCTGCTGGGTGTGCCGCCCGGCTCTCCCCGCTGCTCTCCAAAGGATGGAGCAGTAAAACATTCAGCAGAGCCCCTAGCGTTTATCACACCATAAATCTGAGCTTTCAACAGCTTTACGATGCTGCAGGGAGATGCGAGAGAACAAAACGCTGCTCTGCTTCGTCAGACACAGCCTCGCATGTGCCAGTGCCCCCAGCGCCGGGGCTGCCAGGGGACCAAGGACCAAAGCAGGGGGTTCATATGGGTAAGGACCCGACCCCCCCCCCCAGACACCATCCTGGGGGGCTGCTGGCACCCTGACCGGGTGATGGCTGTGGGGCAGCTGTGTTTTGGTGGGACAATGATGGGGGGAAATGTGTCTCCAGCATCGGCTCTGTGGAAATAGGGCAGCCGCCAGCATGGCCCCCCCACCCCAGTGCACTGAGAGCTGCTGCTGCTGCCTCCGAGCTGGGTTGGGATGCAGGACACCGGTCCCGGTAAGGAGCCTCAGTCCCCATCAACCAACCCTGCCGTGGATGCAAAACAAGCAGCGCTCGGCTGCATTGGGCCGGGCCATCACCGCGGCACCTGGCCCCGCACAGGGCTGAGGGCGCAGCGGCCGCATGCCCACCGCACACATCGCATCCTCCCCTGCACTAACACACACACACACGCGTGTGTCTGCGTGTGCAGCCTTCACACCGTGCCCGAGCTCATCGCATCCCCATGGGCCGGGGCCAGCTTGTGCAAGGCACGCATGGCCCTGGGGGGGGGGAAACACAAACACCATGGCATCAGCGACTGCTGGAGCCACATGAGAGCGGCCCCCCCCCCGGAGCAGGCGGGAGCGTGCGGTGCTGCCCTCGAAGGAAATGCGCTCACTCCATGTGCTGCACACTTGGGCTCGCTGCTATTTTTATTTGACTTTTCGGGGCCCGTTTCCTTTTTCCGGCTGTTTTCGCCGCGATTCCACCAGCGCCGCGACCTCGCTTTTCCCCTCCCTCCCTCTTGCCTCTTCCTTCGCTCTTTCCTTCCTTTCCATGCACTCATTCCTGCCGCAGATGCACCGGGATCCCTTTTCCCCCCTCCCCAAAGCCGGTGCTAGCAGCAAGCTGGTGGTGAGCTCATGGCGAGCGTGGCAATGCCTCCTCCCAGCACTCTGAAGCAGCAACACCAGGCACAACCTCCCCTATTCCCAGGTCCTGCAGCATAGCCTGGAAAAGCACAACACCCCCCTGGGACCCTCAGCCCCATCCATGGGATATCGAGCATCAATAGAGCGATCTGGGGATGCGGGTGGGATGTAGGGTGAGATATGTGGGGGCAGTGATTGGGATGAGGACTGGGAACAAGAAAGAAGCCCCAAATCTAAACCAGTGCAAACGCTCCCGAGGAAGCCAAGGAAAGACAGGAGGAAAAGGCAGCAGTGCTCATTCCCAAAGGATGGGGATGGAGCGGGGAGGAGGGAGCGTGGCCTCCAGTACTGGAACTGCAGCTCCCCAGTGAGCCCCTTCACCAGCCTGCCCCATGGCACGCAGGCAGCATCTCCAGGGACCCCACAAAAGCAGGACCCCCTGCTCTCACCCCAAACCGGGGTCCCTGTCCTACCCCATCAAACCCTGCTCCCTGCCTGCACCCTTCTAAACCCCAGGGTGAGCCCCTTCCTACCTGCCCCAGCCTCCTTCCAGCCCAGTCCCAGGGGTAAGGAGTGGGCAAGGACCCCCGAGCATCCCCCGATCCCATCGGGATGCTGGGAACCCCTAGGGAAAGGCGTCCCGTTGGTCAGCAGTACCCATTGAGCACCCAGCCGGGACCGGGGCGATGGATGAGACCGCGGTGGGGACCGGGGATGCGCAGCGCCCGGCTCCGCGCAGCGCGCTGCTGCCACCTCGTGTCCTTCACGCACGGCCCCGCAGCCCCACGGGTTTTATCCTGCCCGAGGGGAGACTGAGCTGAGCTCTGAGGCAGAAGCTCTTCCCTGTGAGGGTGCTGAGGCGCTGGCACAGGGTGCCCAGAGAAGCTGTGGCTGCCCCATCCCTGGCAGTGCTCAAGGCCAGGTTGGACACAGGGGCTTGGAGCAAGCTGCTCCAGTGGAAGGGGTCCCTGGATGGAGCTGGAGGAGCTTTAAGGTCCCTTCCAACCCAAACCAGGCTGGGATTTTGGGATGACAGCACCCACCCCGATGGAGAAAGGATTGAGGAATCTGGGGCAGGGGCAAACAGCCTCCACCATCATGCATAAGGGTGAAGGATGGAGCCCCATAAGCCAGGCCGGCATGCACTGAGACAGAGACAGGATGCCGCAGTGCCCACTGCTGTGCCATGCCCAGTCCATGCACCACACCAACCCCATCCGCAGCCCGAGGCCCAGGGTCACAACACACCCAAAGGGCTTCCAGGTTTCATTTCTGGCTTCCCAGACAGCGTTTGCCACCCAAGAAGGGAGCAGGGACCCACCCGGGGCACCAGCAGAGCACAGTGACAAGGGAGGATGCTCCTCAGCTCAAACCCCGCATCCCTCCAGGCTCAGCTCACCAGGGGGTACCAGGGCACGCACGGTGCTGAGCAGCCGGGTCCTCCAGTGCTGCACATCCCATGGGCTGAGCCTTGCCCTCAAGCCCCTGCATCTGCCACTGGTTTTGCTGTTTATCCATGGGCACGGGTGCTCCCCAGGCTTCCCCTGGGTGCCCGGTGATGCATCTCAGCTTCCCAATCCGCTGTGTGCCAGCAGTGCAGCCTGGCCACCCTCAGAGCCTTATGGATGCACAGTGGTCCTGCAGCCAGCAACAGCCCCGTGTCCTCTTTCTGCCCCCAAAGCAACCGTTGTCCCCCAGAAAGCAGCAGGAGATGCAGGGCCAGGAGCATCATTGAAATCCAACCCCTCACCTCCTTTCTTTGGCACTTCCCTTTCTTCTTCCCATGTTCCTGGCGTTCCAGCTTCCCACCATAGCCATCCCATGGCAAACCAACCTGCCAGGGACGCAATGGGGCTGGTCCTTGGGTACCACTTGAACCAGGAGGATGAATTCAACATCTCCGCTGCCTTCAGCATTCAATGTGCCCCAGGTTTCCAAACCAGCCAGGGGCAGCCGCGATGCTGGACTGCGCATCCCTCCGGCACACGGCGAGAGCATCCCTATGAGTGCCGGGGCACCCGGTGCGGTGCGTGCAGGGCATAGAGCTTCTCCCAGCAGGTCACCAGCCTCTGAGCCTTCCTCCCAACCTCCCGCAGCATCTTCATCTTCCTCCTGCGCCTGCGTCCCCTGCGCCGGGGCTGAGCCGGGATGCGCGGAGGGCTCTGCGGTCACAGCGTGCAGAGGGAGCATCACAGGGGGTTAGTAAAGGGGATGAAAGGCACCACTCATAGGGTTTGTATGGGCAAAGGTGCAGGATGGGGTGGCCAAACCGCACAGGGGCATTGTAGGGGTGTGCTCGTGGGTCCCCATTGCTGAGCAGCACAGCCCAGGCAGGGTTTGTCCCAGCCCATTGCCCCGGTGATGATGGGGAGGATGAATCCCAGCACAGGCAGAACCCTGGGGTTTCCCCACTCATTAATGAGTTGCCATAGGGAATCCTCATGGATGGGGTTTCCCCAGCAGAACCCAGAGCAGCCCTTTAGGGAGAAATCCCAGCTCCTGCCTCTGAGAGCCCCGGAATGAGAGCAGGACTGGGGGAGCATCCCTCTAGGACAATGCTCTATTCCCATCGTCCATGGCATGGGGGAACAAACCCACTTAGGAGCTGGTCATAAAACACCACCAGCCTGTCCTATGATGCTGCTACTGGACTTCCCTCCCGGGCCAGTTTAAAGCTCACTGGGATGTGCCATCATCATCATCCCACACCCATGGATCATGGGATGCTGCAGCCGGAGCCTGGATACTCCCTATGGGCAGCCAGGAGAGCACACAACAGGGGTGGGCTCTGCCCCATGCACTGGGAGCCATGGGCGGGGGGGACCGGGAAGGGGCCGAGCTCCCACCTTACGGATGCTCCTGCAGCTCTCCCTGAACACCACTTCCGTGTTCCTGGCCACCTTCCACAGCGCCAGCTCCCCGGGGCCACGCACGGAGCCGGCAGCTGCGTCCCACAGGGCCATGGTGATGTTGTAGATGGAGAACAGGATCCTGTGGTCCTGGAGAGGAGAAGCACACGGTGGGAGTGGGAATGAATAGATCCGGGGGGGGGGGGGCTGAGCACCCACGATGCTGCTCAGTGCTCACCTTATCCGAGCGACAAGCCGGGCCGGCCCTTCCGCTCCTGTCCACCGACCCACTCAGGGTTTTCTGGAGACATAAAGCATCATCAGGCATCCCGAAGCATCAATGCCTCCAAGGTGGGGCAGGGACCCCCCATTTAAACAGTGCTCTGCCCAGCAAAGCTTCCCAGCTCATCCTTTGATCCCGTAGGGTCACATCCAGCTCGGCATTCCCAGCACACTCACCAGGTTCTGGATCTCGTGGAAGATGACGGCACGGTACTGCCGGAGGATCCTGGCGATGCTGCACCTCTTGCCTCTGCTCAGCACCGTGAGGAGCAGGAGCAGCACAACAGCGCAGGAGAGGGCCCGGGGGGAAATCTGTGCAGGGAAGGGCTCGCTGTCAGCCAGGGGCTCTGCCTCCAGCCCCTTGACACAGCCCCCGTTGACCCATCCCCTGTCCCTGAAGATGTAGGATGGGGCTCAACCTTGAGGAAAGCCTCATCCCAGTCCATAGCCACGGCACACACCGAGCTCTCTGCTGCCATCAATCAGATTCTTGGCACAGAGCTGTGCCAGGATCCTTACAGGTCTATAGGATCTATCCCCCTCCTCTCGACCCCAACAGGGTTCCCAGTAGCTCTCCAGCTTGTGGCATCTTCAGGTCCTTTCCAACCCTAATTATGCTATGATTCCATTTCTTGACCCCCAACCAGCAGCAATTGAGGGGAATGGAAATGGATGTGCCCTGCTCACTGGAGAGGGGCTGGAGGTCAGGAACCGCCTGGCTCCCACCAGCAAACCTCTACACCTCAATCCAAACAGCTCCAGGCACCCCACAGGGATGCTCCCTGCACTCCCTACACGGATGCTCCCTGCACTCCCTACACGGATGCTCCCTGCACTCCCTACACGGATGCTCCCTGCACTCCCTACACGGATGCTCCCTGCACTCCCCACAGGGATGCTCTCTGCACTCCCCACAGGGATGCTCTCTGCACTCCCCATAGGGATGCTCTCTGCACTCCCCACAGGGATGCTCCATGCACACCCCATAGGAATGCTCTCTGCACTCCCCATAGGGATGCTCTCTGCACTCCCCACAGGGATGCTCCCTGCACACCCCATAGGGATGCTCCCTGCACACCCCACAGGGACGCTCTCTGCACACCCCATAGGGATGCTCCCTGCACACCCCACAGCACGGCAGCGGTCACGCAGCATTTCCAGCTCCCACCCAGCTCATGCTCACCCTTGGCTCAGGGATCTGCCTCCCAGGCAGCAGCAGCAGCAGCACAAGGCCCTGCTCTCCCCAGCTCTGGAACCCTCCCAGGCAGCAGCAGCAGCAGCAGCAGCACAAGGCCCTGCTCTCCCCACCTCTGGAACCCAACGCACGCATCCAAGCTGGGGGAGCAGGGATGAACCCTGGGGCTCTGAGGAGGAGCCGGCGCAGCCTCAAGTGAGCGGGGCTGGGACATCTGAGCAGCCCCACAGCAGTGGGGCGAGGATGCACACACAGCCTCTGCCTGGAAAGGAGCCAGCAGCAACCCATGGGCCCCATCCTGGTGTCTGTATCACCCCCCCGACCCTCCTCCCCATGCAGGGTCAGGTCTGGGCAGGCAGAAGCAGCTCAGCTCTTTCCAACTATGCAATCCCTGTGGCCAAAGCAGGGCAATGAGGATGGGATGGGCACAGCTCTGCCTGCCCCAAGCTACAGCTCACATCCCTGTGGGCTCACCAACATCCCAGCCACCTCTGGCCCTTGGGATTGGCCCTTTGCTCACAGAAGCCAGAAGGAGAAGTCATTCCCTTGCGGAAGTCCAAGCCCATCCATCCTGCCCCATGGCTTGTAAGACCTGCATCCCACTCAATGATGGGCTGCTCCCGGCTCCAAAAGGCTGAGGAAACCTTTTTCCCACCTTCCCATAGCTCAGCAGGAGATGGGGGCTTAACACGAGGTGGAATCCAGCACCCTGCAAGGCTGGGAACCCACGGACACAGGCGTCACCTTGGATGTGCCAGGAGATGAGCAATTCCATGCGCAACCGGTACCAATCCCACTGGGCTCTTCAGCTCCTTTCATCACCACGAGCCTTCCAGGAGAGCCATCCAGAGGCCAGGAAAGGCCGGGAAGAGCCTCCCCATGCTGCTGGCCTTGCTCTCTGCAAGCCCCCGAGGTGATTCAGCATAGAGCCAGGGGTGTATAATCCTCAGGGATACCAAAGGAGAGCGCTGCTTCCATAAGGACACCCTGGCCAAAGTCTAAGGGTTGCTGCTCTCGGGAAACCTCTTCCAGGAAGACGAGGCTGCGCGATTTCACTGTGAAACTGGGAATGACTTCCCTGAAGTGCCTTCGAAAACAACCGGGACCAAATTCCAGCAGAAAGCACAGCATTCCCAGGCAGCCGAGCCTGGCGCCGGGCTCCCAGCGCTTGGCACAGGAGGGAGCACAGCCCGCAGCGAAGAGCCCCATGAGCAGCCGGGATGGGGCTCAGGGGGTGCAGTGGGTGCTTCCCACCGCCCTCAGGGAGCTGGGAAGCAGCAGCGATGAGAGGGATGCAGGGAAGAGAGAGATGAAGCTGGCAAACCCCAGCCCTGGCCATTCCTTAGGATGGGGGACACTAAGTTCAGTGGCTGATTTGGGGTTATTCCTTCCCCCTCATCCCCATCCCTGCAGCAGTAAGATACGGGCAGGCAGATCGCTTCCCACAGGGAAGGAGCAGGAAGGTCAGAGCCTGTCCCTGGCATAGAAGCTAATCTCTAATCCTCCAGCAAATACAGGAGATAAGGAAATCACCATTACTGATAGAGCAGCTCCCGGCACACTTGTGCAAGCCCTGGACACGAGGAATGGTGCCCAAGGTTCCCATTAGGGTCCCATTGGGGATCCCAGCTCGTTCCAGCCACACAGATCCTGTCCCAAACCCCCTTTTACCCAAGGGGACCCAGAGCCTCAGCACATGCCACAGTTCCAGGCACACCTAATGCTCTCCCCCTTGGGATCAGCCAGCCCCAAGCCTCGTTCCAGCTCCATCCCAGCCAGGTCCATGCCCTTTCCCAACCAACCGCAGCCCATTCCCAGCCAGACCACAGCCCCTTCCCCACCAATTCCCACCTTTACCCCACCGCAACCCTCCCCATCCAGCTCCAAGCTCCATCGTGTCCCTCCCAGCCCCTTCCGACTGGTCCAAGCCCTTTCCCAGCTGAATCCTGCCCATCCGGATCAGCCCAAGGAGAACCGGATGCTTCCCAAGCCCCATCCCGGGTTACCCCCCCCCCTCCAGCACCCCGGGGGTCCCATCGCGGTGCCGCCGCACTCACCATGGAGCCCTGCAGCCACGTCCTGCTCCGCCGGGGCCCCGCGGTTTGAACTTGGCTCCACGGTGGGAGGGGACGGGACACAGCGGCCCGGCCCCGCGGGGAGCGAGCGCGGCGCCGGGGGGGAGCGGGGACCGGCACAAAGGGACCCGTGTCCGTGCCCCTGCGCGGCTGCATTGGGTGCTGCGGAGCCGAGCACCGCGGCTCCTACCCGGTGCTGGCCATGGGTGCATGCCGCATCCACCTACAGCCACGCAGCAAGCGCAGGCAGAGGTGGCTGTGCAGTGAGACCATACCCCTGTGTGCAGCCACAGTCCCCTCCAAGTCCTCACCATCAGCAGCATCAGCACTGGACCCTGCCCCGACGCCGGATCCTTTGCTTTTGTAGAGAGGGAAAATAATGGACAGAGAGGAGCAAGGCTCTGCTGAAGAGGAGGACGAGGGTGTTGGAGCAAGAGATAACGTCGGTGGTTGAACAATCCACCTCTTCTCAACTTGGCAGGAACGCCCCTCCATGTGAAGAAGAACCCCAGCAATGTCTGGGTCCTCCATGTGAAGAACCCCAGCAATGTCTGGGTCTCACCTTCTGCAGTACAACTTGGTTCTTGAGCTCTATACAGTTAAAACCCACAGGTGCCATAACCCAATTTAAAACCACCAAGAAGCCACAAACATGAAGAGGCTCTAAAAGTAATCTAAACCAAAACGCAAACCTAACCCCAGAATGTACCCCAGGTACAGAGGGGCAAAAGGAGCTCAGTGCTGCGAGGAGGCCTCCAGCACATCCCAATGTGGGAATAATCCCTCCTCTCAGCACCCACAAGGAGCAATCTCCCACAAAGTCCTTCCCATGGGTTTTCTCAAGCCCAGGGCTCTGGGGTTGCCTTTGCCAATAAATCCTTAAGGAATGTGGTGCTGTCATTGGGGTCAGGGGATTCCAATCGATGGCCACACACACGGTATCTGGCTTATAGGAGATGCTCCAAACACAAGTCAGGAATCTCTCCTGCAGGAAAAGCCAGGCCAATGTGGTTCCAAGCAGCCTTCCCCACCTCAACTCTAGAGCCACTAAGTGAGAGCACTGTGAGGCAAACGGATCCACGCTTCCCTGGCATCCAGCCTTTCCAAACATCACTACCCCAGGAAGCACTCCTGCCTACAACAGTGGGACAGAGTCCCCACATCCAAGCACTTACATGGATCACAGTATGAAGAGAAGCCATGTGAGAAGCACGAGGGGCTGAAGGACAGCACATGCTGGAAACTACTTTTAAACATGTTTTCCTCATGCCTGGCTCAGTCATGGAATCCCTGTCCAGGCACATTCCCACCCCACATCTACCCTCTCCTTCCCATACAGAACGGATGCCAGTGACAGCATGAAATCCCTGAGCAAGTCTCTCAACCCCCAGTGCCTCTCACCCACCTTTGACAAACTACAATTCCATGGGATATCCATCATCTACACCCTCCTTAATGCAGCTTCAGACACTTCCACAGCTATTCAAGAGGGAGCACAAGAGTTTCCGTTATAAACCCCAAGCAAAAAGAGGCTTCTGCTCCAAGACAGACCGTTTCTGCTTCAGTGGTAAGGGACAGGCTCCTCATCCCTGCTGGCAGCACAACCTGGTGTAACCACCACCAGCAGATACGTTCCCAGGGTGGTGGGAGCCTGATAAGTTCCAAGGTTTCTGCTATCAGGCCCACTCTTCCCAGCCAAAGGACAAGACCACATCCACAGAGAACGTAAGGAAACAAAAACCCAAGCTGTATTTTATACGTTATCCAAACAAGGGGTTTTCTCCTCCAACTAAATACATGATGTAATGCAGACAGAGACCTGAACACTTCTGCTCTACCCTAACAGGTCAGACATTACAGCTTCTCATTCAACAATCACGAGGTTTGGGAGGGGGGGTGTCAAAATAATTCAGATCACAAGTGTAGAATAGAGCTGATAAAGGAAAGGGTCCCAAATACAAAGCTTTTCCTCTCCTGAACTGGCTGGTTTCCACCTGCACATGAAGAGCTATCCCAAACATCCCAACTGACAGCAGTTGCTGCTGTAAAAGCACACAAGTCTCTGAATGACTAAAAGGTTGCTCCTTCAAAAGAGCCTTCAGGGATGGCTGGATTTTGCCTTACTCTAAAACACCCCTGTGCTTACTGAAATCAGTCACAAACAGGGCAGGTTGCACTACATACATTTAAAAACTGAGGAAAAGGGCTCTAAAATTGCTTTTGTATTCACAAAACTGCTCAGGTTGGAGGAATGCTCCTGAGCTGGGCTGCAGCTCGTCAGCACAGAGACCAGGCTAAGCCAGGCTTGTGGCTACAGACTGAAACAGGGGGGCCAGCCCATCCCCTCGGCTGCTGGTCACCCCCAGCAGGACTCCACTCATCTCCTTCAAGTCCATTCAGTGTAGTCAAACAGCAACAACCCAGATCTGCTGACAAGGAACCAGCATCAGATGGGCCAAACACTAAAGAAACCGCACAGAGAGGGGCAGGAGGGGAGTGCATGCCAGGGAAGAAAGCAAAGAAACTGCTAAACCCATCCAAGCACTAAGTAAAGCTTGTATTTACAGGGGATTCAGGCATTGAAATGAAGATGCCAACACAGCCACCCAAGACCACTCGTCTCTCCTCCATGACACCAGCATTCAGATGTGCTGCAGAACCCTATGACTGTGTTGTGTGAACCAAGAGCACTGGGAAGAGAAGAAAACAGCTTTTCTTTCTGGAAGAAAGCTCTTCTGTATCACCCATCCTCCAAAGTCTGTTCCACTGCAAAGGTGAATGCACCGAAAGCAGGTAAGCAGGCAAGTCCTACAGAGATGACTCGGGATGAAGGCAGGGGACTCTAGAAGGTGTTTTTAAGCTTGGCTGCCACAAGCACGAGGATCTCCCCAATCTTCTTCTGCCAATTCTCTATGTCCTTGGAGACATCACACCAGAGCTCCCCATGGCGAGGCTCGGCATTCTCACAGCGCTTCCTCACCTCTTCTTGCTGTTCCTATGAGGAGGAGAAACAACAGTTTGCAACTCTCTCAATGGCCCCAGCACAGAGCCAAAACAATTCCCTCCCCAGCTCAGTTTTCCCAAGCTTATGGTGGGTTTTTGCTTTGGTTTTTTAAGGTATGGAGCCCTCAGTGAAAGCTCAGCAGCTCTGCCTTGCTGAGCAAACTGACTTACAGACAAGCAAGCTTTGGCTAAACTGCAGCAGAAACTTCCTCTGCATTCCCACCTGCACGAGAGCTGTGCAGCGAGAGGTTCCTCTGAAGTCAGGAGAGAAAACACTCCCATCATTTCAGCACTATCAGGCAGTAAAAACTGCCCTGAGAGATTAGAACAGACTGTCCCTGCGGCTGCGTTCACGTGCAACCTGCGCTTGACACTTGTGGAGAGGCAGCACCAGCCACACAAACCCAGCACCGCAATTACAGGAAGATCTATGAGAGAGCTTGCATTATACAGCAGGGAGATTGATTTCATCGATTCCTGCACGACCCAGCATGACTGTGGACAGCGAAGCAGCTTGAGAGACAGCTCACTTAATGACAGAGCCTCTTAAATAACCACCACGCAGGCCTGTTCATGCTCAGTCATGACAACGCAGCCTCATCTGCGAGCCACACAGGCGGCAGAGAGCTCAGCACAGCTCTGCACATCCAGCATCAGCCAAGGATTCCTGCTGCCTTCCCAGCTCCCTGCTCCCAGCACACACTCTCACCTCCGTGCCATGCTGGAGCTCGAACTTGTAGAAGAAAGCCCAGGCATCCCCCAGGTCAGAGTCGATCTTCACTGTTCGGTGGAACCATTCCCTGGCCTTGGTTATTTTACGCTCGCTCCAGAAGAGCCTGGGGAGAAAAGCGACCGTGAGTTGACCAACAGCCTATTTCCGAGGAACCCAAAGCACTCCAACTGAAAAGCTCTCCAGATCTTGCAGTTCTTTGCTCTCCCAAGAAGGAAACAGCAGATTTCACAGGCATCTGCTGACTGGCCTTCCCCTGGGAAGAGACAGGACTGAAATGAACATTCACTGTTTTCTCTTCACTCTCCCCTAGTGAGGCATGTTAACCAAGAGACAGACACTCCTGAGAGGGGAAGTATTGCTCTCCAAGCTCAGTCTTTGCTAACTCAATGGCTTAATTCTGCTGGTCCAGACTGGGAACAGGCTCACATGCCTACACGATTTCCCCTCCTCCAACTTAATATTTCAAGTTGAATTTAGCATCTAACAGCTAAATAGCTCCTAAGAGCTGAACACTACCTGCAGACCTACCTCATCAGCTCCACGTTACAGGGAAAGGTGAGCACTTCCATGCTCCCATCCCAGCCTGGCACCCAGCCCCAGTGCTGCCATTTCATAAAGGTACTTATGAATTCTGGAAATTCTTCCCAGTTATTATCCAGCTGAGTCAATAGTCTCTCGGGTTCACTCCTCTTTGCATTAAGAGTTCATTTAAGCTGGGAAGGCCTTTATCAAAGCAGACTGCCATCCCTCATAAAGAGCTTAGCCAGTCATAAAATTATACAGCTTATGTGATTGTTTCTAAGCCCTGTAATACTCTTGATTGTTCCATGTTAAATAAACTGTGATTTAACACAGCACGAACAATGACAGCAGAGGCTCAACTCCTGCAAGCAGTGGCCATTTCCAGCAACCCACTTAACACAGCTGTTATTAGACTTGATGGTATCACTGTACCTACATGCAAGTCGTGATGGGAGGTGGGAGCTGTTTGTGTTGGGATTAGCTGCTGAACTGTGAGAGGCTGCACCAGGAGGGGCCTGGAAGCTGTTTCCATAAGGCAAAGTTAACGTTATTCTCCCTTGCTGCTATAGCTGAGCGAGTCTGCTGTCATGATCTGGCAGAACCCAGCCCTGCAGTCACTTGAATGTATCCTACGGTTTTCTTTGGCTTATAAAAAAGAGTTATGAAAGAATTGGGCAACTGTTTGGGCAAAATTCCTCCTGCATTAACCTCTTGTGGTGCTCACAAAGGAACAGAAGGAAGTTTGTTCCAGTCACGGCTGCTGCAAAGCTATTCATCTGGTCAACGAGGATACAGAGTAAGTTCTAATAGCAGGTTTTCATCATTGGAAGCCTCACAACTCAATCTAGACAAGAAGACAATCCCTAGTAAATTATCCTTCCATTCCAGAGAAGCAAACTACAGCAGGATGGTAGCCTGCATTCCAGGAAGGGCCCCAACTCAGGAAAACCAACATAGGAGAAATTCAGAAGAGGAGAAGACTACAACAGCTCAGGGTTAAAACAAACCTGACAGAACCTAGGAGAGAGAGAAAAGATGAAGAACACACTGTCAGCCACATAAAAACTGACAAATAATCAGGCAAAACTGTCCCTACTTTATCACAATACCTAAAACACACCCTAAAAAACTTACTAAAGTCCAGGTCACCTGCAAGCACACCGAAATCCCTTTCAAGGGATGGAAAGCAGTGATTTTCAGAGTGCCATTACTCAGCACTGGAAAAGGGCTCAGTGTGAATGTATTGTTGTCTGTGCTGCAGTCCCAGCCCCAGCAGAACAGCTCGAGGGCAGGCTGACATCCCCTGCTTTGAATCAAGGGAGAGATTTGCACAGTTACTAGGAGACAGCTTGAGAGCCGTTACTTGCTTTGGGGCTTATTAGAGCTGCTGCAGCCAGAATCACACGGCTGTACTCGAGCGCAATGTTTCACCCTGGATGCAGCCGAAAGGGGTTATTTTTTACAACATCAAGGCCAGGAACTCACTTGGCCACAGCCAGCAGGACGTGTGGGTCGTGTTCACACTTCTTGAGAGCATCCACACTCTTGGTCTTGCGTTGCGGTCGCGCTTCAAGGAAAATTGCCTCTGACCACAGGATTCCTGAATGAAGTCAAGCAGGAAGATTGTTAGTTCCAGCATTAACCCTCCCCATCCTGTCACAAGCAGCACCACTGACCACCCCCCCACTCCCCAAAGGTTATCAATGCCCCAGTCTCATCCCAGATGATCCTTTCTGCATGGATACTTCATCCAGCACTCTGAAGGTTTGGCTACGGCATACACCACGCTGGACCTTCACTTCTGAAGGTCTCTGCACCACAACCCCCCCCTGCAGCTTCAGTGCTCCCTGTGCTGGGGGGCACCAACCCAAAGCTCATGCCTCTCGGATGAGACATTGCAAGCAGTGGAACAGGGGAGAGCAAATCATCATTTCAAAAGTGAAAGAGATCCATCTGTCTGAACGGGAAACTGCAGCGACAGAAGTAGTCCCAAGAGGTGCAAAACACAATGTCTTGAAGCAGTTCTAAGGGTGCCAAAGAGCACCAGGGTCTTATTGATGCTGGCTCTCCATACATACAATGAAGGACAGAGTAGGTCCAGGAAAGCCAGGTTTAATCCCTACATCCTTCCACTGCCAAAAGCAAGGAAGGAAACATGCTCGGAGGAGCATGAAATCTCCAGTTTCTGCTGTCAGCCAAGCACACCTGGTGATCACTTCAAAGCAAAGCTTGAGAGCGGGTGTCTGCCAGGACTCTGTGCTCTCACTTCCCATCAACTGCACATGGGAATACACGCAAGCGTTCATGACTGCAGTGACACCGGAGCAGAGCTCGTCTTGCTCTTTATATATATAGGGTCAAACCTCATTTTCCCAGGCCTGCTGAGGCCACAGTCATCATTAGATTTCAATTTTACTCTTTGTGCAGCCTGCTCTGCAGCAGCCACATGCAACCAGGAATCAATTCAGCACTTGATGGATGCGAGTCGCTGGTTTACCCAACTGTAAGTGTCCAATGAGCTCACTCCTCCTTTTATTCTGCTTTGTGGAGTTTAAAGATAGGGTTGGAAATGATTATATTTCAACAAAAACTGAGATCCTGCTGCCCATTTCCATAGCAACAGGCAGATTCTGTGAGAAAGCCTGCGGTGGCAAACCCTCATTAAGCATTAGGTCATTCCCAAAACAAAGTGGGACTTTGGGTGCTGTTGTTTTGTTGACCCACTGCACGGTGAGCAGCTTGCAAGGGGTTTATCATGGCATAAAAGTCACTTAATTCCCAATGATTTCACTGGGACATCAGCAGCCACCAATTAAACACCTTTCAAAAGCCAGCCCGAAGGCAAACTGGAAAGCTTGTCCTGCACAAGACTATTGCGTTTTGCAGTTATGTGACATCTCCTCTCCAAAAGATGTCAACATGTTTAAATCATTAAAGTCTTCCCACAATTCTGCCCAAAAATAGGGAAGTATTATGGACTTTTTCCTCCCATCCCAAGAGGCAAATGTTTCCACTGCTAGTTAGAACCAACTGACTTTCATTCTATGACCTATTAGCCTCTTCTTAAATGAGCTCAAATCATCAAAACCCAGGACTAAACATTTATGATCCCTCTCATCATGACTGTGCCTGAAGTTTGTTACCAGCACAAGTTATTCAGCACAAAGTCAGGAGTGCAACCAGTGCAAACCAGCAACAGGAAGCATCCTATGGTCAGCTGTGCTCCAACAAGACAGGGAAAAACCCATTGTTTTCCACTGAACTTCCCAACTACAAACACTCAAGAGTCTTTCTTCAGTTTTCAACCCTTGGCAGGCTTGTAGCAGCTTCAGAGACAAGCCACCCATGTCCAAAGATGCTTTCCCAGGAAACCTGGGACCACAGACCCAAAAACATGCTGGATACTACAGCAAAATGGAACAAACACCAGCCTGTGACATCCTTGGTGTGAGACAGCACAAAGCAACTGGGATTGTTCATGACGACCCTCAACATTTGCACAGGGATGACTGGCACCTCTCCAAAATGTAGTACTTTGAGACCTGGCCAGAAAGGACACCTTGGAAAAAGATGTGTCTTTATCAGCTGGGCAAAAGAACCATGTTTAAGATAGAAATGAGATCCAGCTCACCTGAATTGGGGCATTCTTGCAGTGCCTTGGCCATCAGAGTGTTTGCAATGTTCTTTAGCCCAGCTCTGTACTCCAGCCGCACCGACTCCAACCTGGTAAGGAAGATGGTATTTATGAGAACACATTCACCATGTGGAAACAAACAGGGAGTCACACCAAGGTCACTGGAAATTGCAAACATCTGCCCATATTGTGAGTGTGTGTAGGTGATTGACATCTTCCCATTCCTCTCCATCTAAAAATAAACCTGACCTTTACTCTATAATGGCCTAAACCAAAAGCAATCTGAAAAGGGACCAAAAGAGAAGTGAAAGAGCCCTGAGTGTTCATGCTGTGTGCATTAAAACCATCAGTAGAGAAATAATTAGTCCCCAGCTCCTTAGAGGAGCTCCATACTAGCCAGGATCACCAAAGTATTCCTGATATTCAGGATAAGTTGTTAGCCCAGCCTCAAATGGCTGGGATGATGTGAAATAGCTGGCCTAGAAAAGGCCATTTCTATTGCTCTGTAGCCCAAACTTAGTTCACCTCCACACAACTCACCAGAGATCTGGATTCTTTGGATTCTTTAGGCGAGACTTTTCCAGGATAGCTCTTGCTCTGGTCAACTGCCCAACCTTCTCCTCCAGCCTGGACAGCAGAAGCCACAGGGGTATGGAGTGGGGACACTTTTTCAGCTGTTAGAAAAAACATGGCAATACGCAGACATGAAAACCATCTTAGAACCCTTATAGAAAATAACTTCCCTCCCTAAATCCTCCTGGAGAGCTTAGAAGAGAGACAAAGTGGATTATGTTGCTCAAATTTCTCCTTGTTAAGTCTTACAGCACAGCAGTCCCGTTTCTCCCACATCCCAGTCGGGTCCATCAGCTATGACTGAGCTATGTCAGCAGCAAGAGAAAGAATACACCTCCCTTAATAACACATCTACGATTTGAGCTGTCTGGAGATGGAGGGCTCATACATACTCAAATCACAGCAACAGAGGGGCTTTGAAGCCTGGGAAGTCATCAGGATATCGGCACTGGCAGAAACCTGCTTCCCTCTGACTTTCAAGGCTGAGGACTTTCAGATGCACTCACACCCAAAGACACTGATTTCCATTTAAAAGAGGCAGGAGTGCTCTGTAAGCCACCTCCTTTTACAGTGTGTATCTAAGAGCTCATTAGGAGGCTTTCCTTTTAAGAGCTCTGCTTTTAGCATTTACAGGTCTCAGGGAATTAATTGTGCAATGCTTTTTCTTCCTACCAGTGAGCAGTCAAACATACAGCAAACTCTTAAGCAAGAATGAATTCTGCACATGGATTTTGGGCAAGACAAATTCTTGCTGCTTATTCCAGGTCCCAATATTTTTGCTTGGTTATTGTTTTAAGCAACGACAGAGAGAACAGAAACCATCTTTGGTTAGGCTGAGACAGAGCCCTCTCCGTTTTGATTCACAACAGACATCCCCAGCAGCACAAAGCAAACATGCAACACCACCCATCTTACCCCTTGATTATATGCCTCCCGGGCTTTGTCCACCAGCTCTTTTTGTTCCTCAATTTGTCCTTTCATCATCCACAGTTTGGGGAAGTCCTCGTAGTGCTTCAGGGCTTCCTCACAAAGCTCCTGGGCTGCAGCAATGTTCCCCAGCACCCATTCTAACTTCACTGACTTCATGAAGACCTGAAAGCAACCAGAGCTGTTTATCACTAGCAGCCACTAAAACACCATCAGTCCCTCAAGGCAGTGGGTTCCCATTTTCATATGCTCATTAATGTGATGAATTAGCTAATAAAAATGTTATTAACTACCTAATAAATAACAGTGGGAATAGCTAACAATGAGAAAGGTATTGTCCAAATAGCCAAAGGAGCTGGGGCAGCACAATCAACCTGTATCTCACCTATTAACACAGGGCTGACATTTGTACAATACTCATTCAACAAGCACAACTAACTAATGAATTTGAGCCTCCTTCAACAGCACAATCTGATCTCCTTACATCCAGACTACCCAGACCACCTATTCTCATTCGTGCCTTCAAGTTGCAGCCGTTGTCCTGCCCATTAAAAGCTGATACACATTTTTCTGCCCCCAAAATGCCTTTCCTTTGGCTACACATGGAAGTTACAGCTGTGGGAAATATATTATAGACCGAAGGCTGTTTCACTACTCTTTGATCCCTGTCCTCCCTATTCCCAAACTCCCCCCACCATGACTTCACAGGAGAAGCATCAAGTCTTGAGACCAGAGCTCCAGTCCCAGCTGGAGAGAAGCTCCCTGGCTGACAAAGGATGAAGAGGGCAGTTAAAAAGATGTAGATGAAGCACAGACCGGGGAAGACACAGAGACCAGACTAGTTTTAATCTGACTTGGACAAGTTAAAATGGGTCTGTATGAACAGCTAAAAACCGACAGAGTTTATCATGCCAGAAGTGACTGCAGAGATAAACCCAAGAGTGTAACATTAAACAAACACGACCACAGCTGTCTCTAGCACAGCAAGCACAAGCGAGTCTGCTGTGAAAGTATTTTCTCTCCCTTTTTTCCAAGGCATGCTTTTGGGCAACAGGAACGTTACACAAACAGCTGTAAAGTGGGAATTTCCTGACTTTTGCCACTTGTGTTAAATAAAAAAAAAACCCTGAAAGCCTTCACTTGATCCTGGCTTTTCTTTCCCATCAGGCCATGATTTGGTGTCGCAACTCACTGGCGAAGCGGCCACATGCCTGCAAAAGGCAATGGCAAAGAGCCACCCGGTCAATCCCTGAGGCCACAGAACTGAAGGAACTCCTCCTTCCGTCTCAACTCCCCCGTGGCCAAGAGAGGTCTCAGCCTCTCCACCCTTCACACATCCTTACCCTTGCAGTGGGGGCACTGCTGCGAGCTTTAGCCAGCAGCCTCCTTGCTCTTTCATACTCATTGTTCTCCGACTCGAGCTTCACGGCAGCAAGCCAGATCTCCTCGCTGTTGGGGTTGGCCTGCAAGAACATCAAATGACAGACAAATGCAGGCAGTGAATCAACAGCAGATTTAATCCTCCGTTTGATCCAGATTAAAATTGAAATCAGAGCTCTGTCAATCCACAGTAGGGTGGGTTTTTTTTTTGCTTCACAGTTCAAGCTCCTCCCAAATCTTCTTTGACCTTTGAAGTTCAGAGGAGTTCTCCAAACCAGATGCACAGCACTAAGATACGTGCCAGCTTAGAAGCTGGATGCTTCTCAATTGCTGAAAAGCGTTAATGCTTCATCTTCTGAACTTCCAGTTTAAACACTGAAAACATCACAGGGTCTGCCACAATGAGACCCTCGTTTTATTACCCCTGAGCAAAACAATAATGAAGCTGGAATTCCCAACTGAGGTCTGTGAAAGCTGCTCCAATAAAAGTCATTTCAGTGGCAACCAAGGGAAGAAGCCTTCAGGATGGTAACAAAAAGCACCAGGAACAAATTGAGGAAGTAAATATCTTTTACCCTCCAGCTCAGGGTTTGCTATCACTTAGCTTTTGAGCCTCATTCCCAGTTTTAGAACTGTACTGCTCTGCCCATCTTTCTTTCTGCATCCAGCAGAGAATTCCCTTCTGGGAATCCTCTGTGTGGATTAATGGGCTTGGGCCAAGCCATAAGTAATGCAGTAACATCCTTAATTAAAGTAGACCACTACCTTTCTTACTGAGTAGGCAGATAACCCAAGACAAGGGGGTTCTGATCCATGGCTGGGGTTGATGGGAGCCACGGAAGTGGGATTAGTGGTTTGTGAACTCAGAACGTGGTGTGGTACTGCTACAGGAGCAGTAACACATCCTGCTGCTATTTTACAGGAGAACATTGTGCCACTCAAGACAATGTAAGACCAATGGAAGCCCCTATCATCTTGCAAGGCAGCAGGGATCAGGTGTTGACAGAAGGAGCCTGCTCTGGGTTCTTTACCAGTTGTACTTCACACCATTGCACAAGTACAAGAGACCCACCTGGAAAGCCAAGGCCAAAATGCTTCTGGCTGCTGGCACATCTCCCGCCAGCCACTTGGATTTGGCTCCCATGAGCCAGAGCACTTCTGCTTTGGGACAGTGAGCAACAGCCCTCTGCAAAAGAGCCTCCAAGGATTCTCTGAGACAAGAAAGAGTAAGTTAGGCTCCCGGGAACTATTCCCACCATCGCTCAGTGCTATAAATATAGTTGCAAAGTCCAACGTTGTAAACCTTGATAAGGGGTTTCATAACAGGGAAAGGGTGGGGTCTTTTTTCACAAGGGTTCTGAAATCAGCACTCCACAAACGGCTCATTGTTCGGCCACCTTTGTTTGATAGCCCCTGCCGAGAGAGCCTTCACACACACAGCCCCTGTGCCTTGGAAAGAGGAGCTCTTCTTAAACCTTAGAAACTGGGACAGGAAGTTTTCCACAGTTATCAGATGAAGCTGGCTTCATCTTATTGAAACTTGTTTTCTCCTCTAGAAACTCGACTTTTCAGGTAGAATAAGGGGCTTAAACTGGGAAATGTGAAACAACATCATAAGCAAAGACATACTTGCTCCAATAAAGGAAAAAAGGCTTCAATGAGGCAGAACTCAGCATCTGATCGAGCTGAATATGTCCCTGCTCATTGCAGATGACCTCTGAAGGTCCCTTCCAACCTAAACTGTTCTATGATTCTGTGATCTGCAGTCACTTCCACACTACAGCCCTGTTGGCTTTAATGATTCTGCGTGTGTAAGTGGTCTTATAAATACCTTATAAATAAAGCAGATCTACTGCTTTATTTGCTTTATTCTAAACTCCAGGCAGAAAGTTTCAGACATGTAAAGCTTTATGAATAAGCTTGAAAAGACTGAGCTGTGACAGTGTAACACCAAGCTGAATTCAGACTGTAACAGAAACTCACAGTGTGATCAGAAAATGTCAGAGATGCTCAGCAATGAACTAGTTTATCTATGACAATTAAACACATGCTGTATTTTTAGGTGATTCACAGCTATTTTACCAAAAGATCCCTATTGCCAAAAGACCTTCTCATGACTTCATCAAACCCAAAGATGTTCCAACCACAGTAACAGCAAAGAAGGCCAGACCTGAAAACCGAGCCAGCTGAACTGACTCGTGCAACACAGCACTTCAGGGATCACCTTGTAGCTTTTCTTCCTCCCCATCCTAAAGGATGAACCCCCCCCAAGGATGATGCAGCACCCAAACCTTGTGCCATGGTTCTTTTCGAAGTAGGCTGCTCGCAGCCACACGCTCTTCTTGCTGGGGAAGACTTGCAGGGCATAGGCATAAATTGCTCGGGCACACTCCAGGGCGTTGTGAGCTACACACTGAAGAGAAACAGGACAGAGCTAAGTCAGCATAGGGCTGCACTGAAATCAAGTGCAAGGAGTTACACATGCATAATTCAACAGAGAACTCAGTAACTCAGAGTAACGCCTGAATTGGGGTATTATACACAACAAAATAGTTACTATCAGCTTTATAAAAGGAGGAATTGAAGATAGAAGTGTCTATCAGGCCTTTCAGTGCACTGACACACACAGGACAGCTTGAAAACATTACTAAGGCACTGGAAAGGCTCTCATGTTCACACTTCATTTTTACAGGCAAAAACCAAGTGCTACAGCATCTGCCCCTCACACGCAGTGAGCTGGACATTCTTCATGCTGAAACAGGGTTTCTTTTTTAGTGCATGTTCAATCAAGAAAGCCTGGTGAAACTTTTACCCACTCCCCTGGCCACCCTGAGATTAACTCTTGAGTTATAATGCTCAGGTATTGAAACTTAACTCCCAGTTCCTTTAACCAGACCTCGACACACTCAAACCAACCCACACAAAAAGCAGCAATTTATCAAAATAGCGACTTTTTGCTTAGTATAAATTCAAGTCTAAAGAAAGCTCTACAATACAATAACCTCCTGAGAGTCAGAGTGGCCAAACACAGGCAGGTGTGTGGGAAACAGGCTTTTTCATGGATAAAACATGTCATTTTCCAGGCTCCAGTTCAATTTCCCTTAACTGAAACCCAAACAAACCCCAAGCCCAACATAAAGCAGCTTCACAGCTGGACGTACACTGTCTGCATCCTCCATCCAGGTATGTTTCCGATCCTCCTCCTCAATCCCGATCCCAATGACAGCTCGCATGATTGCCTGGCACGTGGCCACACTTCCAGCTTTATCGCATTCCTCAGCATCCTAGAAACAAGAGCAAAGCCCTGAGAGCTCAGCACAAGAAGGTAGATCCTGCAACAGCAGCTCCTCGAGCACAGAGACACATTGTGGGTCACTGCAACACTAAATATGTCTTATTACTCAGACATCTGGACACTAACTAGGGAGCCCATAACCACATGGAAAGCACTGTAAGTTGTACATAGAATCAGTCAGAAGATGGTTAAGAAACAGCATATCAGCTGCATCCACTGGAAAGGACTGAGTGTGACCTTTCCAGCCTTAACAGGCTCCTCTTACAGCTGCACTGAGCTGCTGAGCAGGGACGTGGCCAATGAAAATATACAAGAATTTGAGGAGGAAGAATTCTAACATCAAATCTAGTGACCTTCTTTCAGCTCCGAGTTGATTCTTAAGGCTCAATAAGGGCTAAGCAATAACTCAATTTAAACAAATACACCCTCACCCAGTGTGAAGTTAAAGGTGCAGAGGCTCTTTCACTAGAGCATATAGAGAAAAGCAGTTTTCTGATACACAAAGCTTTCAGAAAGCCAAGCTTGTCTTGCTTGGACTTGTTAAAAAGACCTCTGATCAGATAGCAGAAGTGGAGCAGTGCTGGCACTGACAAGGAACTCGAGAAGGCAATGATCCAGAGGCTGGGGGGGGGTTAAACAGAAGTTGAAATTAACCTTTCATTGTTTTACTGCTGTAAAGAAAGTTATAATTGGTTTAGATGTTAAACGAGTATCTTGGTTAACATTAAAATACTTTGTTCATTATCAATACTCTTTAAAGGAACATACCAAGAAGATTTTGCTGCCTACTACAAACCAATAAAGGACTAACAAAGTATTTCCTGCTGGCTGCATATGCATTGTATCACAGAATCCCAGCCTGGTTTGAGTTGGAAGGGACCTTAAAGCTCACCCACTTCCAGCCCCCTGCCACAGGCAGGGACACCTTCCACTAGAGCAGGTTGCTCCAAGCCCCATCCAACCTGGCCTTGATTTGTATTGATTTCATACAACAGTATCTGACAAAGACTTGTTGGGCAAACAGATACCCTTTAAGGCAAGAGACATATTGAAAAAACACATAAATCCTTCACTGCAGGCTTAAAGCTTCTGTCCTACTTAAGGCAGCAGCTGCTTCAACTTGAAGCTGATTATCTTCCAAACCAGAAGCAAACCAGACATTCCTCAGCTCAACACACGCAGTGTCACCCCAGTGTATCACTTACAGCCTTGAACTTAGTCAGCTTTTTAGTCTCCCCTCTTGTATCTTCACAGGGATCTCCACTGATAAGCCTAGTGCAAAATCACCCCACAGTACCTAGCATCAGCAGCCTTCAAACCTCAGTGCTCATCTGGGTCTCTAACCAACACTGAGCAAATACCTGTATCCACTGCTCCCTGTTGATCTCCACACCGTTAGCCCTGAGGGATGTGATGGCTCTGTCAATGATTTTCTCCACCATCTGGGTGTTTCCATTGGCTTCCTCCAGCTTGGCAGCAGTAATCCAGATGTGCCGATCTGTTGGAATATTCTCTCGGGCTTTGTTAAGGACTTTCCGTGCATTCTCGTACGTCTCCAGCCTGGCCAGTGCAAGCCACAGCTGTGGAGCAACAGAAGATGGGTTTCAGATTAGAACAAGGAGATGACAACGCTGCTCTAGGGCAGTGTAGGCCGGAACAGGTAAGCAGCTTCAGGCTGCTTGCTGCTGGCTGGCAACCGTCCTCAAGCAGTACAAGCAGGCTGCAGAATATCAATGGAGAAGTAGTAGAAACAGAGTCTACTCCTGCCATGAAAACTCAGTCCTAGTCCCCTGATGGATCATCATATGGAGATGATCACAGAGATATCATCTCCATTAGCAGGGCTGCGTATTTTCTGTTCACATCACCTTTCAAACAGCCGAGTGTGACACTCTGCTTCAGGGCTTCAGAAATGAGCAACGTTGTTTTCGACTCCCCAGGCTATGTCTATGCTTGTTTTCACAACCGGGGAGGCACTACCCATCAACAGGAACATGGCTAAGTGGCTACAGCAGGCACAGCAGTGCACTGGCATAATGAACCTAACAATTACACAAGAAAATGAGGCATGTAATGACCAGCAGACAACGAACTCTGGGGAGAAGAAAAGCACAGTCCACTACTCATCACATCCTTTTCATTGTGGCATAAAGTGCGTGGTAGAGAACTCATCATGCGCTCCCCTGCCTCCTGTTTTCAAAGCTCTGCTGTCAACCTAAAGCCATGAGGAGGGGGTTGCCTTCTTTTCCTTCTTGAAAGACTTACTTCAACACTCGTTGGACAGCACTCCACAGCCCGGCTCAGCATGATCCTGGCATCCTCAGGTTCCTCTAACTCCACGGCTGCTTTCCACAAACGCACCGAGTTTGGAACATGCTCAAGGGCTAGAGGGGCAAAACCATTCTGTTAATCATGACAAAGTAGTTTCCCAAAGAGGGCTGCATGTTTTAAAGATGATATATTGAAGGCTTTGCCCTATTACAGATGAGATTTCCTGAAAAAGGGAAGGGAGGGAACTACACTTCCATTAGCTCTTGCTTCAACAATGAGAACTTCAAATCAGAAAATAAAAAGCTAACTTAATTTTAATTGGAACCAGGCTTTGGAAAGCCAAAGGCTCTTCCCCTGCCTAAGCTGTAACTGCATCCTCTGCAGTAAAGCACTTTGCTGAACACAGCCTCCAGGCTCAGCAAATGAGCATATCTTAAAACTGGGTAGCCCTAATCATGCTGGGTCTCCCTTTATAAAATGGAGCATCTTCGATACTAATAAGACAACTTTGCTCCTTAGATGTTGGAACTGTTCCTTCGGCCTGTGGGCATCTCCTGACATCTTAATGGATCCCAGATTAGCTTCCCAATGAGTTACTGGCCTGCTGTGTAAAAATAAAACAGGAGGATGCCTAAAAGCTTAAAGGTATCACTGACACTAACACCCTACGCCACTGGATCCCACGTGTTCTTTCAGCAATCCATATGGGCTCCATCCAATTAAGAGTCTTTGAGGCTTCCTTAATCTTCTCCAGGAGTAGCTAGTGCTGGTCAAAACTGCATTCCCTGCAGACTGTTCTACATGTGCTGTCTGAAACATTCAGGTCTAAACAACTTTTCTCAGGCTGCTTCTTTATAACCTCGTATCTGAAAGATACACTAAGAAACTAAAGGGGTTTCTTAGCCTTTTGTCACTACAACTTACACCACAGCCTGCTGGTGTTAGCTGTGCTGCAGTATTAGTTTAATTGCTTCCAAGGTGATCGTACATGAACATGCTATAGTGACAGAGGACTGAGCTCATCCTTCTGCAGCACAACAGCAGGACCATAGAAACGGGCGGAAGAAGCATCTAGAACTACACTGAAACCAGCTTCCAGGCAAGGCTGTCCCTTTAAGCATTCCTGCAAAGGCCAAGGCACACTGCTGAGCCTCAGAGCACACCCCAGCTCTACAGAAACACACAGAGCATTTACCAGCACTGTGCGCTGGGGATTGGGCATTAACTGTTTCCTCTCAGTCTGCAGTAGGAGATTTCCTGAGGAATTAAGTGAATCAGATGAGCCTGCAAGAGCTGAGAGCACCACTCAGCAGGACACAACATGTTTTCATGGAGCTGCCAATATTTGCACCTCGAGATGCATTTTAAACACTCAGCTTGCTGGCTTTCCAGTCAGAGAGAGGCTTTGAAACTCCAGAGGTTCTGCTGGATGATAGGAATGGTCACAGCCAACAAAACACATCATGAAAGATCCCATTCCAGTGCCATTACCTGGCAGTCAGTCAATTTTATTTGAGGAGAAATAATGGGTTAAACTGCCACTGATCTTAAGGTTGCATATACAAACAGTTCCCAGCATCATATTCCTGCTGTTCCCTAAGTAGCAGAGGAGCACTGTGAAGCTGTTCACACAGAGAAACTGGAAAGAAGCAATAAATCATGTTCCACTCCACTACCAGCTTTGTATTGGAGATGAAGTAGGTGGCTCCAAAAACTGAAGCAAGATGTTTTTCTCTTTCCAAATACAATGTTTAAAGCAAATCTCGGTACCTAATGTGTCACTGCTTTCACAGAAGGTGCTCTCCTACCTAAGCTGGACTCAAATCTATTTCTGCTCATGTAAGAGTGTTTTTCTGTTCAGTATCTACTATTGTTCTTGAGGAGGATGCACAGTGTCACAGGGGTGACACCACAGCACTGCTTAGCCAGTGGAAATTAGAAAAGCTACTGAATGGTTAATATCTGAACTCCTATAACTTCAAACCCAGGAACCTGTAAGTGCCTTTCATCCATATGCAGTAAGCAGTCATTTCACCAGAGATGCACAGTTTTACATGCAATTGCAAGAAGTATGAGGCAATTTGCTTGCTTTGAAGCCAAAGCATTCAATACTGTAGGCTGCTCCACAAGAATTAAGTGTATTAGTTCCAGACCCTTTTCCCTGTCTAAATTAAAGTCAGAAGATAAAATTGACACAATCCAGTAGTCATGAAGGTTCTAATCTCTACTGCTACAGTCCCAGTAACTTAAAGTAATCAAAGGATTAATACTATGAACCTGCGAGGAAGACCTGGGTTCGGAACAACACAACAATCCACTGTTAAAAAGATCATTGTTTGGAAAAGACTTGGATGAAGCTGGAATTACTTTTGGGAAGTGAAATGTCATTTGCAATTGCTCAGTTAACAGCAGCTTTCCACTGAAGGGTGTTTTACAACTACTTCAACAACAACTTGACTCAACAGCAGCAAGCTCCACATTATTAAATGCCCTATTCTCCCCAGGGATGCAAAGGAAACCCCACGATGCAAAGAGAGGGAGACTCGGGCTTTGCTCCCTGACCCCACAGAAGCTCTCACCTTTCCTCAGGACACGTTTCTTTGCCCGGATGTCTGTCTCCAGCTCTGCTGCTCTGATGTAGATTCGCACAGACTGCGGGAGGTGGCGGACAGCTTGAGCCACAACGGCCTTGGCTGTATCCCCAGGCTGAAGCCGAGCAGCTTCTAACCAAACATCTTCACTCTGCCAGGAGAAAAGAACAATCTTCCCTTACATCAAACCAAGAATCTAAACTTCGAGCTTCTGGTTAAACACATGTTCTCTTAATGCCGCAGAGTGAAGCTGGATCAGATCTAGCCTGACACAAGCTCAACAGAGACGCTTGCTGCTCTTAACCACAACCCTTTCCTACTGCCCTGCAAGGATCAGCGGGGAAGCAAAGCAATTCTGACCTTAGGGCACATCTCTGTGCCTTTCATGATGAGGTTTCGAGCTACTTGGAGCTTGCCAGTGACCTCCTCTAGTCGGGCTGATGCTATCCAGGCTGGAGGATGGTGAGGATTGGTCTCTCGCACTGATTTCAGGAGCAAGCGGGCTTTTTTGATATCACTAAAGGAAGAGGAAAAACAGACAGGAAGATTTTCAGCACTGTAGCAAGTAATTGCCCTGAATCAGTGCTTCACAGCCGCACTCAGATGCACAGTAACCCTCATCTCAAATATTTCCTTACTAGTGACACAGATTACATGCTACCAAACAAGCTCACAAATACACATTAACACAGTGAGATCAACATGAAAACCAGTTAAGTATTTAAGCAAGATATTGAGGAATTACAGCTGGAAGCTGATAAGCACAAGCACTGACTGAAGTCAAGTATTAGCATCAACATTTGCACTTATCACTTTGACTTTAATGGCAATTCTTTATGAAACTGGTGGCAAACTTGAGGTTAAAAGGGTCTTCAGAGGTCATCAATGAAGCCTAAATTAGCAGCACAGGGATACAATTAAGCAGGTTCTTCCCTGGCTGGCAGACAGCCACATGCTGTTAGTCCAAGGATAGAATAAAAACAAGCCCCACAGCTGATGCAGCCAGGTCAGATGATAAATACCTCGGTTGACAGATTAAACCAGACCTCATATTAAAAGAATTCATCCTCAGAAACCCACCTGGCATCTGGTACAAATTAAATGCCAGCTGAGAGCCATTGGCCCAGACAGATTTCCATTTCTATGCAGGATCACAGCCATCACTAAGAGGATAAATCAGTTAATCCTTCTTAAACTTACTTGATATCTCCTCCATGGGTGGGAATCATGGAATTCAAGTCTGTCAAATATCCTTTGGGGTCCACTACAGTCTGGCCACTCACAGAGTCTGACACCTGGGAAAGGCAAATCAGAGTTACTGAAGTGACCATTCACAGCCCCCCATAGCATGCAATAAACACTGGAAAAGACCCTGCAACTGTACAAGAAACCTGGATATTCACCTCTTACCAAAACCAAGGGATGAGGGAAGCACAAAGCCTTGCTGATTAGCTTTTTCAACTTGTAAAATACACAATTTTCATGATTTAAATTTAATACCACTGAAAACCCAGGGAACAAGCAGCTTGGCTTTCAGTCACCAACAGGTCGTGCAGCCCTACCAACTAAAGCCCATTTTTTTAGTTGAAACCAGATTTAGATGGGAAAAATCAACGAAAAAGAACAGAACTCAACAACAAATTAAGAATAGTATTTTTCATCCCTGTGCAGGATAGAAGAGATGCTTCCCTTGGTGTAACTTGGCGTAACCAAGTGCTGTTCACCTGAAGTCCATCTCCAGTACAACATGGCTCTCCCTTAATGACCAAGACTTCCAGAGACAAAATTAATTCCCAGGAAATTCTATTAGAGGTAAGGGGATTAGGGATGGAGAAGTACAAAATTATATCACAGCTGAGGTGTTTCTTCTAACACCCAACAGAATTAAAGACACTTCTAAACCCAGGTCTTACACAGCAGCACACATCCTGCCTTGCCACATCCTTACCTGGCTTAGCCTCATATCCATCAAGGTGTTCCTGGCTTGGCCAATCTTCCTCATATCCAATTCACCTGTCCCAGGTGTCATTAAGCCTGGTGTCATTCCTCCTGGGTAGGGAGTGTTCAGGCCCCCTGGATATGGAGTATTCAATCCACCAAATTGCTAAAAACAGGAGTGGGAGAAACACATTCCTCAAATCTCTTCTGAGGTTTCACAAGTACATCAGGCTGTTTGGGGATGCCAAAACCCCAAAGGTCCCTCTCAAACAGTGGCTTTCCTGAACCACAGAGCATCTCTCATACAGGTTTTGCAAATCTGGAGGTAATGACTCGAGTGTAGCCAAGTCAGTGACATAAGTAACAGGAAAGTGAAAACTTAGAGCATAAGCATCTAAAAGCAGCACATTTCAACAAGAGTATCTACAAAGAAGTCCCAGGGACATCTAGTACCAGTACAGGGCCAGTCTGCTTCTCCTGAAACTCTATCACCACAGCAGGCTGTGGCCATGTAGCAACAAGACAAATTACTTCATTTTCAGATGACAGTCATGCAAATAGTTTTTAACACAATTGCTTGAGTGTTGGGCAAACCATGAGCTGAAATTACACTCTATTTTCTGTTCCATTTTTGCAAAATTAACAGAAACGGACACTGGTTATGCTCAAAAAACCTCATTATCACCATTCTACAGCCCAAGAAATGGAAAAGAAACACTTTCTTCCACTTTAATCACAAGAACAAGGCTCTCTCTGCCTATCTTCAAGTCTTCTCTGGCAATGGGTGTGCACTGAAAGACTCCAGCAAGCACAGGAGTTGAACATCCAGCAATTCCTCTGCCAGACTCACACCAAGTGTTTTGGTCAAGTACCTCCCCCCCCCCCAATCCCACACATAAATCCACACTTCAACCCTCACCTCTGATTATAAAGCACAGATCCCACCTTCACCAGGTTTGCTTTTGTACTCACTGTTTGGCGTGGGTCCACAGAAGTGTGATTCTCCCCTGACTGCAAATGCTTTGCAAAGAAGCTGTCAGGCACAGGAGTCAGCTTCTCGTAGCGAGGATTCCTCTGGCGCTTGTTCCTGGCATCACCAACTTCTGGGATACTCAGCCACTCTTCCTCTGTGACCTCTGCCAGCTTCCGCTGTTCAAAGAGGAGGTGGCATCATTATTTACTGTAGAACTTGTTCTTTTCCATTGCTCTACTTCCTTAAGGGATTATTCTTTCCTTAAACTTTGACTTAAACATCAAAGGTCAGATTTTTTTCCTAATCCAATGTACAAAAGATGTACATGCATTCCACTAGAATCTGGGTTTAGTCCAGACTGAGATTCCAAACCAATCTTCTTGTTAAATTCAGTGCTTCAAGTATTCAGGTTAATCTCAGCACCTGCAGCACTGAGTGGCTTCTTACTAATCATTAGCCAACAGCTTAAACAACACATTTTATTTAACAGCATAAGTCAGGAGCTCCTGATCAACTACTACTCCAATGCCAACACATTATCAATCCCTCAAAGACAGAGGTGAGGCACCTGCTCCAGAACTGATGTGAAGCCACAATAAAGTCAAACCAAAAGCCTGGTATCAGGATTTGCATGAATTTCACTCCCTTGTGCAGCCACAAATAAAGTGCTCTACAGGCAGAATCTCAGTGTTCTCCCAGATCCCTCCTGAGCAGCTTTAAACACCCACTTCCACCAGCTGAGTGCCACTCTGAATGCTGCTGTCAGCACAGACAATATGGCTTTAGCAGCGCAGATTGCATCCCTGCTTGGGTTTAAATCAGCACTAATTTAAGTGGCTGTAACTGCAGCTGGCTGAAAAATCACACTGCTTGAGAGGGCTCCAGGCCAGGAAGAGGTTCTGCACCACCAGCTGCCAGCTTCAATTCCATTTACTTTCCTTTTCCAAGAGGAAATAACTAATCTGGCAAATAAGGAGCTACTTGTTTGCTAACATACAAAATCTGAGCAAGGAAATGCAGAACCATATCCACCTCTCACACATCAAAGATAAAAGTCACACTTGAGATGTTTTTCTCCTTACTTTCAAGTCTGAGAACTGCTGCTGAATTTTGGGTCGTTCCATACGGTATTTCTCTATTTCCTCTTTCTCTCGTTGTTCCCTGAGGAAAAGGAATACTGAGGTTATGCTCCAAGGAGCAACCAGCAAGTCCTTAAACCAAGTGTTGATCTTATATAAAAACATGTCTGATCAGAGCCAAGGCGTTAAAAAGAGTATTTTATCCAAGTTTAGATTATCAACATTATGGCAGAGATGTTTCATCAAATAATACAATAGTGTAAAACCAGGCATCTCCAACCAAGAGAACTTCAGCCTTTAACCTCCTCTTACCTATAGATCAGGTAGTGAGCTTAACAAGTTCAGTAACACTCACCAGTTTACAAGACACCTGCATTACATGATGCTTCTAACCATCTCCAGTGTGATGTGCAGTATGGAATGTGTCAAAACCAGTTACTCAGCATCTCCCCCATCATCTTAATAAACTTAAGTATGGTGAAGCAACTCAACCACACCAACTCTCAGAGCAAGTTATACAAAATACCCATCAGTCCTAAAACTTGGAGCCACAGGGTCCAAGGTTCAGTATTAGAACAAAAACTCTGTGTATATCTCAAAACAGACCCAGCAGACAAAGGCAAATGTGAACTGGAAAAAGGAAAGAGGTAGAGGAAAAGTCTAAACCACAAACTAGCCAGAAACACCCCGTGCCAGTGCTGTGATTCATCCTACCTTCGTTCTTTCCTGCGTTCATCCATCCTCTTATCCAGAGCTGCATAAATAGCATCTGCTTCCTCGTCATCCTTCTCATAGGGACCACTTGAGAAGAGGCTCCCAGCGTACCCATTGAACTATGGATTTGGGAAGAGAAAAGGGAAAGAAAGAGGAGGGAAAAAAAGCAATATCCTCAGTTTAAAGCTTCTGTTATGTTCCTGCTAGAGGCAACAGTCACCCAGCACAAGGAAAATGCAGCAGAAGGCTATTTCTAACAACATGGCATCAGACTGACACATCCCTGCAGCAAAGCACTTGCTTCTCCCACCCCCGGTGGTTCTTCTCCCACATCATTTCAAAAGCAAAACTGCTTCCAAATTGCTTCTTCCAGAATGGCTCTATTAATCAATAACTGAGATCCCAGTATAGAAAGGCCATTTTCTTCCATTAGCCACTTTTGGTTTTAAACTACTGAAAGCAAACCAAAGGAACACCACAACATCTAACTGACCAAAGTGGGATTTCAACACAAGAGCCTACACAGGCCACATAAAGACAAATATGTACCAAAGCATAAAAGCTGAGATTTCTTTTGTGGCGAATTAAAACATACATCCCCCAAAGTACTAAAATTAATACTTAACTAATTACTTAGCTTAGTACTTAACTAATTTACATTAGTACTTAACTTAAACTTCCAGATCTACTCCCAAGACTCTCAGTGCTTGGTAGAGATAATTAAACCACAATATGCAGACCAACAGCACACCTCAAATCTGCACTATGCCATTATGTATAACAATAACAATAATTATTTAAAATAAATGGGGAAAAAAGGAAGTACTGCTAGAAAAAAGCAGGGAATTCTACTCTTGTAACCTCAGGTTTCATAGGAAGAGAGCAGAGAGTTAAGGGACTCCTCCTCAGGGAAAAGCATCTCCAGATGATGACAATCTCATCACCTCATCATAATTGGTGTCATTCAAATCCTCATCGTCATCATCAGCTGTTTGGTTCTTCTTCATCTGATCCCCCACAGTTCTCTTCCCGGGCGGTGCATGGCGATCGTCCACAGGGTCATTGGCATCACGGGCAGGGCCGATATCGGAGCGGGTGGTGAAACCTGTGGCTCTGTGGTGGGGAAGCACAGGCAGTTCTTTAGCACACACAACCCCCGTGGCACACAGCCAGGCTGGCAGCATTATTACTTATAGCACACAATAAGAGTATCGTTCTTCTGCAAGAATGGGATCATCCAGTCCCCGTCTCGCTGTCCTTTTATAGGGAGCGCTTTAGCTGCAAAGGCGCTGCAATCACCCCCATCCATGGAGGATCTCTGCTGTGGAGCCAGGCTAAGAGAGCTGGAGAAGAGAAGGCTCCTGAAGGAGAGACCTTAGAGCAGCTCCAGTGCCTAAAGAGGCTGCAGGAAACTGGAGAGGGGCTTTGCACCAGGGATGTAGGGACAGGTCAAGGGGAACGGCTTTAACCTGCCAGAGGGGTAATGCTGTGCACTTCCCAGGGCACCGACAACAAAGCCACCCCTACGTAAGGGCACAATAAAGCAGCAGAGGCCAAACACAGCTTGTACCCTAGGAAGAGCACGTCCCTCCCATACCCCGCGCCCTGCCTCACACAAACCCCCCCTGATACACCGACTTTTGAGAGGGCCCCATGGACACAGCACAGCCTCAGAGCCGGGATGGGGGGGGGGGGGGGAAACACCGCTTAACGCACCCCCGAACCCACCCCCGGGGCCGGGCTCGCCTTCGGACACAAACCCGCCCTCCTAAGCCGCAGACGGGGCCAGCCCGTGGCGGTGACACCGGGAGAGCCGAGGGCAGGGGACGGGGAAGCGGGAAGGCCCCAGGAGTCCTGAGGGGGAAGGCGCAGGCCGGGCCCTGGGGGTAACGGGGGGCTCACCCGCGGCCCAGCCCCGGCACGTAGCCTAGGGGCGCGGGCATGCCCAGGAACGGCTTCTTCTTCTTGTTCATGGCGCCGGTGGCGGCGGCGAGGTGGGACCGGGACCGGGACTGAGACCGGGACCGAGGGAGCGGCGGCGGCAGCGGAAGCTGCGGCGGGAGCAGGCGGGGTTAACGGATGCAGAGCGTCACTTCCGCTCCTTAAGGAGCTGAGGGAGCAGCGCGCCCCCTGTCGCCGCGGAGGTCCGAAGCGGGGCGGCGGCAGCGGCGGCGGACCCGCGCCCGCGTGTGCGCGCACACCTCACGTGCACAGCCGCGTGCGCGCGCACACCTCACGTGCACAGCCGCGTGCGCGCACACGCGTGTCGCACACATGAGCATCGGTCCCCCCGCGTGCGACACGCGCAGCTCCCGCGCACACGCGTGCGTGATCCCCCCAGCCGCTTCCCTTCGAGCGTGTGCGCGGGCCTCAGCCGTGCAGGCACACGTGTTGTGCACGTGGACAGGCTCCCGTGGCGCTGGGGGTCACCACAGAGGGGATGGGGATGGGGGTGGGGGTGATGGGATGAAGATGGGGATGAAGGGGATGGGGATGTGGTGATGGGAATGCTAGGGATAGGGGTGAAGGGGAAGGGGGTGATGACTGCATGATGGGGATGATGATGGAATGAAGATGGGGATGAAATGGATGTGAATATGGGGATGGGAATGCTAGGGATAGGGGTGAAGGGGAAGGGGGTGATGACTGGATGATGGAGATGATTATGGAATGAAGATGGGGATGAAGTGGATATGGATATGGGGATGGGAATGCTAGGAATAGGGGTGAAGGGGAAGGGGGTGATGACTGCATGATGGGGATGATGATGGAATGAAGATGGGGATGAAATGGATGTGAATATGGGGATGGGAATGCTAGGGATAGGGGTGAAGGGAAAGAGGGTGATGACTGGATGATGGAGATGATTATGGAATGAAGATGGGGATGAAGTGGATATGGATATGGGGATGGGAATGCTAGGAATAGGGGTGATGGGGAAGGGGGTGATGACTGGATGATGGGAATGATGGGGATGAAGAGGATGGGGATGAGGATGGGGATGATGATGGGGGTGATGGGATGAAGATGGGTAATGAAGGGGATAGGCATGTGGTGATGGGAATGATAGGGATAGGGATGAAGAGGAAGAGTGTAATAATTGGATGTTGGGAATGATGGGGATGAAAAGGATGGGGATGATGATTGGATGATGGGGATAAAGGTGCTGTGGATGATGATGGGGATGCTGAGGTTGTGCTATCACAGCATTTCAAAGTCATGGCAACCACTGATATTCGGGAGCATGCAGGTGCTGAGGAGAGCCTGGAGCATTCCCAGGAGCGTGTGTCTCTGCTGGGAACAAAGCTGACACCCGGATTCACTCACCCACAGCCAGACCAGGAGGGGAAAGGGACAAACAGGGACGGGAACATCCTGGCAGGGCCCAGAGCTGGGTGAAGCCCCGGTGCTGCTCACCCTCATCCCTCTGCAGTGTTCCAGGGCTTGCGATGTGTGAGCCCCCCATTCACCCCATCACACCGGGGGGGGGTGGTCAGGATTCATTATCTGCTGTCCATAAAGCCTCCAGATGAGCCTGCACCAAAGAGTCCCTGTCCCTCAGGAGGGCATCACACAGCACAAGCGCAAGGGGAATGAGAGGGGTGTGAAGAGCCCCAGTGATGGTTTGAGGGCTGTCCCCATCCTGCTGCCCCCCCCCCCCCGCAGCCCTGCTGCCAGCCCTGGCAGGTTCCAGAGCAGAAACCAGCTGCAGGAAGACAAAATAGCCCCATTTTGCATGCGAATGGCAGCCCCGCCGCTTCCCATCCGGCTATTTTTGGGTTCTGCTGCAGGGAGGAACAAAAAAACAGAAAGAAAGAAACAATAAATAAAATCAGTTTTGCCAAAAAAGCCGCGTGTGGAGCGGGAGGGAGGCGGCAGCATCGTAAGGGCAAAGCCCATGGGAGCATCCCCAGCCAGGGAGGGATGTGGGACCCCACTGCCCCATAGGGAAACAAATACTTCCCATTGCAGGAGATCTGGCACCACCAGCATTGCAAGGCTCGTCCATGCAACCATGGAGCTTGGGACCATTTCCCTGTCATGGAAGGATTTGACCCTGGGAGAAGGGCCCGTCAGCTCTTGTGGGGTTTGTGGTTGGGATAATAAAAGCTATTGCAGCTTGGGTGTCCTCTAAATACCCAGAGTGATTTTCTGCTGCATCCGTGCTCCAGCATATCCCGTGTCACTGAGCACTGGGTGAAACAGGCCAAGGGGAATGGCTTGAACCTGCCAAGGGGGAGACTGAGCTGAGCTCTCAGGCAGAAGCTCTTCCCTGTGAGGGTGCTGAGGCGCTGGCACAGGGTGCCCAGAGAAGCTGTGGCTGCCCCATCCCTGGCAGTGTTCAAGGCCAGGCTGGATGGGGACTTCCCGGGCTCGGTCCCTGCGGGCAGGCAGCAGGGATGCTGGGCACGGCGGCTCCGACATGCGCGTAATTGCTCACAAAGGCTTGAAAGTGAAAACCAAGCCCTTAGAGGGGAGCGTGAGGATGGGCTGGGCTCTGGATCCATCCCGAAGCCAAGCAAGGAGCCGTGGCCAGGGCTGCTGTGAGCCCCTCGCTCGCACAAAGCTCCCTCTGTGTCCCTAAGGGGAGCGGAGGCGGCTTCTCCCGGGACAACGGGAAAACAAACCCCAAGGATCTCCCGAGGCTGGAAATTCATGGGTTTCAATAGCACATAGAGCAACGGGAATGCACCCACGGGGCAGGAGCAATGTCAGGGCTCCTTCCCAAGCACCATTTCCTGGTGCCTGCCTGCAGACCTCATAGAATCACGGAATGGGTTGGGTTGAAGGGACCTTAAAGCTCCTCCAGCCCCTACCCCTGCCACGGGCAGGGACCCCTTCCACTGGAGCAGCTTGCTCCAAGCCCCTGTGTCCAACCTGGCCTTGAACACTGCCAGGGATGACACCCAAAGCGTTGCAAGCTCTGACCAGGGGCAGGGTAAGGAGTGAAGGTGAAGGCAAAGGTGAATGTAATGATGGTGAATGTGGAGGTAGGTGAAGGTGATGCTGAGGGTGAAGACAATGATGATGAAGGTGAAGGTAGATAAAGGTGATGATGAAAGTGAAGGTGATGCTGAAGCTGAAGATGGATGTGAAGGTGATGATGAAGGTGAAGACGATGATGAAGGTGAAGGTAGATAAAGGTGATGTTGAAAGTGAAGGTGATGCTGAAGGTGAATGTGATGGTGATGATGAAGGTGAAGGCCTGCTCAGCATCCCTCAGTGTCCCTAGTTGTTCCCCAGTTCTGCTATTCCCCATCACTTCTGCTCTCCCTGACTTTTCAGTACTCACATTCACATCTCCTTCCTAAAAACCAGTGTCACCTTTCCCATCCCATTCCCCAAACCTAGGCTGCTTAAACAAGGGGTGACCACTGCAACTGCCTCATCTTCTCTGTAGCACCAGGGTGACAACCCTTGGGGGGGACACCCACTAATCCATCCCTCTGCTCCCTACCAGGACCAGCTCTCCTGCATCCCTAGCGATGGAACCCAGGGCAGCCAAAGAACCTGCAGCATGGGATGCACAAGCAGCTTCCAGCCTGGCATTCCCTAATCCCTGATTTCGCAGCCTATAGGAGTAACCAGCCCAGAGATCCCGCTCCAGTGCGCGGTGGCAATCAGAGCACAGCAAATCGATTCAAGCCTGGCCGTACCTTGCCGTGTAAATAATAAATGGGATTCTGTCAGCAGCTCAATACGGCTGAAGAGCCCTGAAATCAGGCTTGGAGAAAACCAAGGACTTGAGGCTGCTGAGATGTGACGGGCCCCGGCGCGGTCATTAACTTGCTTGTGCTGGTTGGATGCTGGAAAGCTTTGCTCAGATGATGGGAGTCATTTGTGCCCATGAGGACCGCGGCAATGGGGTGGTTGAGGTGGGATCTTAAGCACAAGTGGCTGCCCCATCCCTGGCAGTGCTCAAGGCCAGGTTGGACACAGGGGCTTGGAGCAAGCTGCTCCAGTGGAAGGGGTCCCTGCCCGTGGCAGGGGTTGGAGCTGGAGGAGCTTTAAGGTCCCTTCCAACCCAAACCAGGCTGGGACTCTGGTTCTATCCCTGGAGAGAACAAGATCCGACCTGCCGGAGCTTCAGGTACCTGATGGAGAGCAGATGGAGACGGATGATGTCGGACTCAAAAAATTGCTGCACTTACAAAAAAAACCCAAACTAATGGTAATTTCATAAAGTTTCAGAGACAAAAAGCCTGAGAGCAGCATCCAACCACCCTCCTCTGCCACCAGCCCTGGAGACTCATCCATGCCTCAACTGTCCAACGTGAGCTGCATCTCTATGATGCTCAGCACCTCTGCATGGGTCTGCTGGGATCCAGCAGGACCATCTCATAAACCACCCGGGAGCACAAAGCAGCTTCTTCAAACCTATATGACTATATCTATATGAAAGATCTCTATTAAATATTGCTTTTACCTCTTTTCCTCTTGCTGCGGATTGCTCCCGAGGCTGGGAAGCACAAATCCCGCTGCCTCCCTGCGCCCTTGGCATCGAGCGCGTCCTCTCCTTGCATTGAGTTGCAAATTCACAGTTTAATTTCAGGGAACACTATGGAAAATCCCCACCTCTGCGCGGGGAGCAAGGAGGTGATGGGGGATGCGCTCTTAAATAATTGCAGCCTGCCTGGAAATAACTGTGCCGGGCCAAAATCCAATTAGGAATACAGCGATAGAAACCTCCCCTGGAAGGAGCTGCCGTAGGCTCAAGCTCCGCTCTGCATCCCAGAAGGAGCAAAGCCTCCGATGTCCTCTGCCAGTGAATCCTCGTCCTTGGGATGGTGCAGACCCAGCCCAGGATGTCCCCCATGGGCAGGGATAACACCGCAGGGATACGAGCTGGAGCTTCAGTGCAAATGCAAGCATCCCCCATCCGGAATGATGAGGTTTGGGGCTTTATCATCAGTGTGAAAATGAACTATTTTCAGGGAGAGATTTCCCTAACACTGCCTATTCCCGTGCCCAGTGGAGCTGAGGAGCATCCATCACCCCACACCAGGCAGGAGGCTTCAGGCACAAGCCTGGTTCGGGTTCTGCCTCCTTCCAAGTGCTTTAACAAACTCTTTGCACAAAAATTCATGGGGAGCTGGGAAATTTCATTGGGAAAACCCCTCCAAGTGTGGTCCCCAACCTATGGGGCTCCCCAACACCCAGCTGCATCCCCATCCTCGTGGCGGGACTTCAGCGGCATCCCGATGGGATGAGGCATCCCAAGCCCCCCGATACCCACCTGCCCGGCCGTGGGTGGATGAAGCAGCTCCCCCCTCCACCTCGCTGGGTGCTCCCTTTTCCTGCTGACGAGTGGATTCCATTAACGTGCAGACGAGCAAAGCAAGGCACAAATTAGGCCCTTGTCTCCGTAGACAAACAACTTCCGTCTGCAGGCTGCGGAGCTGCTGCCTCTGCTCCCCGGCTGAGCGGGAGGAGAGCGGCTCTTTAATGACATCCTTTCTTCCCTGACAAAGCCCCAAACGTGCTGAATCATCCCCTCCTTGCACCCTCTCCGCAGGCTCTGCAGGGGAGGGATGGGGCCCACGGTGGCTTTGGTGCTCTCCCTTCCCAAACCCATATAATAGGGAGGGGAAAACAGGAGGTCCAGGGCTTGCTGGGGCCGCTGTCCCCATCTCATCCCCTTCCTGCAGGGCTTGATGGAGCCGATGTCCCCATCTCATCCCCTTCTTGCAGGGTTTGATGGAGCCGATGTCCCCATCTCATCCCCTTCTTGCAGGGTTTGATGGAGCCGATGTCCCCATCTCATCCCCTTCCTGCAGGGGAGGGATGGAGCCGATGTCCCCATCTCAATCCCTTCCTCCAGGGCTTGATGGAGCCGCTGTCCCCATCTCAATCCCTTCCTGCAGGGCTTGCTGGGGCTGCTGTCCCCATCTCATCCCCTTCCTGCAGGGCTTGCTGGAGCTGATGTCCCCATCTCATCCCCTTCCTCCAGGGCTTGCTGGATCCAGTGTCCCCATCTCATCCCCTTCCCACCCCACCAGCGTATGGGGACAGGAGCCCCTTGGAGATGCTTTGAGCTTCCTGACCTGTGTTCTGGGTTTAGGACTTTTCCTTCCTGTTTAACCCCCAATTAAGAGACCCAAAGACAGACCAAAACCCAGGATGGAGTTGCACCATCAAGGTGCGAGGTTGGCACTAAACCTGTTTGCAAACAAATTCCTTCCCTCAGACACCTGAAACCTTTCCTGGAGAAGCTCAATTACTACTGGAAAAATCCAGGGAAGAAAAAGGCTGGAAACAGTGCAGCTTTTCTTTGGAATAACAGCTTGGTGCAATCCATACAGAGTTTTCAAGCGACATCAGCCTTTTCCTGCCAAGGCCCATCTTTTACCATATTCCTCTTGGAAGATTTCTGCTCCAGCTTGAAAGCTCCATGTGTAGACAGAGATTGAGGAACAACGGGGGCTTTCAGTGGTGGAAAATAGCTTCTTTCTTTATTTGATGCCTGCAATGAGCAGTATTGCCCTGACCGCTCGCTTGCCTGTGTTGCTCATGCAGGGATGAGCATCCTCCTTCACCCACCCTGCTGGCATTCAGTTGGGAGCTGCAAGACAGGGGGAGAAAGGGAATTTGCAGAGGGGGGAACAGCCAGGGGATGGTTTCTGCTCTGTGCCCACTGCAAACCTGAGCAAAAGCGTGGGGACAATGCCTACTGCACTCTGATGTCCCCAGGACATGTCCCTCTGGCTGAGATACAGGGGAATGATGCTGCAGTCACCGGGCTGGATCCAGGGAGATGATGCTGCATAGTCCCTGGGCAGAGATGTAGGGGCTGATGCCTCGCTCCCAGTCTGGATACAGTGGGATGATGCCCAGTGGTTCCCCAGATGGATCCATGGGGATGATGCCCGGTGGTACCCAGGATGGATCCATGGGGATGATGCCCAGTGGTCCCCGGGATGGATCCATGGGGATGATGCCCAGTGATACCTGGGATGGATCTATGGGGATGATGCCCAGTGGTCCCCAGGATGGATACATGGGGATGATGGTCCCCCGGGATGGATCCATGGGGATGATGCCCGGTGGTACCCGGATGGATCCATGGGGATGATGCCCAGTGGTACCCGGGGTGGATCCATGGGGATGATGCCGAGTGGTCCCCAGGATGGATCCATGGGGATGATGCCCGGTGGTACCCGGGATGGATCCATGGGGATGATGCCGAGTGGTCCCCAGGATGGATCCATGGGGATGATGGTCCCCCGGGATGGATCCATGGGGATGATGCCGAGTGGTCCGCAGGATGGATCCATGGGGATGATGGTCCCCCGGGATGGATCCATGGGGATGATGCCGAGTGGTCCCCAGGATGGATCCATGGGGATGATGCCGAGTGGTCCCCAGGATGGATCCATGGGGATGAAGCCCGGTGTCCCCGGGCTGGATCCGCGGTGATGCCCGGTGCATCCAGGGCCGGCAGCACGGGGCGGGCTGGCTGCGCGGCGGGCGGAGCGCCCGGGGGTTGCGGAGCTCGGCACCGCCCCCGGCGCGGGTACCGGGGCGGGGCGGGGCGGGCCGGGAGCTCCCGGTGCCGGCGGCGGCGCTTGGGGGGGGGGGGCGCGGGGCTCGGTCCCCGCCCGAGCGCGGCCCCGCTGCGCGGAGGATGAGCTACGGCCGGCCCAAGGACATGGAAGGTACCGGGCACGGGAGGGGCGGGCTCAGGTGCGCGGCGGGCAGGACCCGGGGGCTGCTCCTGCATCCCCCGATGCTTTCCCCTCCATCCTCGGGATCTGCTCCTCCACATCCCCCTTTGCTGCCCTCGACATCCGGAGGAGGGTCTGTTCCCATTCCCTACCCTCCGTATTGTGGGGTACCAGTGATATGGATCGGGAAATGTAGCTGGAGCAATGGGGTGCAGGTGAGAGGACAGAGCGGGGCAGGTCTTGGGATGCTGGAGTGTGGCAGGATCCCAGGGAGAGCGTGTTAAGGTGGAATGGGGCTTGCTGCAGGTAAAGGGGTCCATGCCTGTGGGCTCCTTGCCCTGCCCAGAGCCACCCTGGGGTCCTGCCCGCTGCCCTCATCCCCTGGGTGCCCAACCCTAGAGGCATCCCTGCCCATGGGTGCTCAGGGACCTCTTGGCAGTACCCACTGCGGGGCTCAGGAGCACAGACACCCCCAAAGACACGCACAGTGCCCCCAGAGGCTGCGCCCCAGGGACCCTCGGTGCAGGCAGCAGCACCCATGCACCCTCCCCTTGGTGTGCACCCAGGGCACGGTGCTGCATGGGGAGGATGGAAAAGGGCATCTGCCTTTTGTTCCCTTCCTCCTCCTTCCTTGGGAGGCACCAGCCTTGGTGAGCAGCCACCAGCCTGAGCTCCATCCCTGCGCTGGGCTCTGGTCTCACCTCCACAAGGGAAGTGCTGGGGCAGGACCTGAGCCAAGTGCCCCCGGAGAACCTGGAGAGGCTTGGGGGGTGTCAGTCACCTCTGAGCACGGTCTTGGGGGCAGCAGGTGTTAGGGAATGGCTCAGGGAAGGATCTGGTCCATAAGGGCATCCTATGGGTATGGCTTCAAGGATTAGATGCATTGGGGGGTCCCAGAGAGCATCAGAGAGCCCCTGGGGGCTCTGCCCTGCACTAGGGTGAAGCCTCATGGAAGGGACAAGGGGAGCAGGGCAATGGCAATGCCCCCAGGCTCATGTGGATGCTGCTAAAAGCGGGATGAATCCCTCACAAAGCTGTTCCATGAGCAGAGTGCATTCCCTGCCCTTGGACTCCCCAGAGAGCTCCAGTCTCATCCACCCTTCACCTGCCTGGGGTAACAGGAGAGGAACAACCAGCTTCCCCGGAATCCCGCTCCCGTGCCCCATTGGATGCTCAACGTCTCCTTCCCTCCCAGCCACCGGGAGCCCAGCAAACCCACAGAGGGATTTGTTCCTTATGGAGCTTGGTCCCAGCTTCTCCCAGGGTCTGGTGTTAATCCCGGGAAGCCCGGCTGCCCCCTGCGGGAAGGCAGGTTTATGGGATACCCGTGAGTGTGATGGTGTCAAAGACACAGGGACATCCCCAAAGCCATGCTGGGAAGCAGCGGCAGAGCAGGGAGCAGGCTCTGGGCTCCCCTTTCCATGCCCCTGCCTGGCTGCCACCGCTTCCCACCAGTGAGCAGGAATGTCAGCTCAAAGCCTGTTTGCTGGGAGGGATCAGCCCCTGCCCGCTTCGGGATTGACCCAGGGATGCTTTGGCTGGTTCGTGCTGCCACGTCCTGCCCTGGGGTCTCTCTCCATCCCCGACACGTTTCCATCCCTCACCCCAGCGGCGCCTGCTGCTGCTCCGAGCCTCTCCAGCGCTCACGTTCCATCAGCCATAAAAGTGTCTGGAGAGGGAAAAGGAGCGGCGGCGAGAAAATGAGCCAGGAGCAATTCCCGAGCCCGGGAGCAGCCTTCGGGGTGTTCATTGCATGGGGCTGAGGGACAAGGTGCAGGGACCATGGCCCAGCTCGCAGGGACCTGGAAAGACAAGGGCACAGTGGCTGTTTGGGGAGCAGAGCCGAGCGATCCCGTCCCTGCTCCAGCTCTGGCGCAGACAGCCTGAAGGCTCCTGCAGCCCCATGTCAAGGTTGACCACAGGGTTCCCGATGGGCACCCCCCTTCTGCCCAGACCCCAGATGCGGCCATAACCACGATGTCTTTGCTGGGTGCAGGAGCAGACCGTGCTGAGCCCCAAACCCCCTGCCTGGAAGGATGCTCATCACCGCGCTCCCTCCTGTCTTCTCCTCCTGCATCCCAAATGCTCCAACCCACCGGTGACCCCGGTGCTGCCACGTTTGAGCTTGTCACTGCTGTGCTCAGCCCTGGGGTGCTTTGATGCCTGGCGGTCCAGCGGCCCCTGCAGCAGCCCCCCCAAGCTTCCCATCCATCCCGGTGCCAGCTGGCCCTGCTATAGGATTAGGTGGGAGCATGTGGGGAAAACACAGAGCATCCCTCCGGATCAAACGCCCACAGGGCAGCGGGGAGGGGGGGTTTAATTCATCCGGCACCGGGGCCAGGGAGAGCACAGAGCTGCTGTTTATGGGCTATAGGAGGGAGGTCGGGGGAGTCAGTCAGGTGAGGACGAGGTATGAGGGGAGGCAGGGATGGAGCCGCGCTTGTGACAGCCGGTGCCGAGCGCTCGCGAGCATCCTCCTCCCGCCGAGATGCAGCAGGGCCGACCCTCGCTCTGCTGCATCTCCTCCATCCGCAGCTCGCAGGGACCACCCGAGCCAGGTGAGGGGGGCTGCGGGGCCGGGGGGAGCCGGGGGGAGATGCTCCGTGTGCATCCCTGTCCGGGTATGGAGCAGCAGAGGGGATGGAGGATGGTTGGGTGCTTGTGGCGTTGCTGTGGATGCTCCTGTGCAGGGCATGGGAAGGAGAGGAGAGCACGGGTTGGAGACCATCCCTGTGTCCCTGTGTAGAGGCTGATGCAGGGTTCCTCTGTCCCCATCCTTCTCTTGCTCCCTCATGCACCCCTTTACTCTCATCCATGTCGAGTGCTGTCAGGCAATGGGGAAGTCAGGACCCAAGGGTTGGGATTGGAGGCGCAGGAGGCTCTAAAGGAGATGCCAAGGAGCTGCGGGAGGCTTTGGGCTTCAGGGCAGCAGCTGCCCATTCCCGATGGGAGCGATGCCACCGGTGCTCTGGGTCCTGCCTTTCTTCTCAGCTTGTTTTCCACTTCACTTTTCCTTCTTTCCCATCTATTCTCACTCTGGCTCCCTCTCCCCGAGCCGTGTTTGCCGGAGCACTGTAGATGCCCACGTTCTGCTGCTGATGGCAGGTGTTTACAGCCCGCTATGGATATAGGTGCTGGTGATGACCAGAGCCCCTTCCCTGCTGCTCCATGACTTGAGCCTTTCTGCAGCGAGCCCTAGGGAAGCTCCAGGACATCTGAAGGACAGGGCTCTGGCACCGGCCCCTCCGGACCTGCCGGGTCTGTATCTGATCCCAGTGTCCAGCTCAGGGGTATCCCAGCACAGCTGCAATGGGATGGGTGCTCAGGGTGCTGGGGGCAGGAGAGCTGAGGGCATCTCCAGCATGCTTGGTTTGGAGGCAGCACAACCCACTGCGGTCCAGGGTGTCTGAGGGTGTAGGCAGCCATTGGAGACATCCCCATCATGAGATAGGCACAGAGGCAGCCCCTGCTCGATGCTGGGCCTCTCCATGGATCTCCCTTCAGCATGTTTCCCATAAAATCCCTTCCCCAGGCATGGATCAGGTCCCCTGCCTCAGTTTCCCTACGGCAGCGCTTGTCACTGGCTGTGTTTAGGAAGCAGTGTGGTGTGATGTGGTCTGGAGAGCCCAGGACCTATGGACACATTGACAACTGTTTCCTGCTCCGGTTTGACTTCTTTTGGCCCCTTGATCTCTGTTGTATGAAGGGGTGCTCGAGAGCTCTCTGAAACCTCTTCCCTCAATGATGACAATGATCTGGAGCAGGTTTTCTATAGCCCTCCTTCTCCCCCAGGATGGGTTATCCCTGGAGGCAGATCTCCTTTGGGTGCTGCTCTGCTTTCAGGGGTGCTTTGTGACTTGCCTGTGGTGGGAGCAGGTGAGATGGGGGATGCTCTGGGCTTTGCTTTTGTGAATCAGCGCTGCTTATGGAAAGCCACCAAAGGAAAGCTTTGCTCCCTCACTGCATCCCAAACATCCCCTGCTTATCAGAACACAAGGAGTGAGGGATAAAAGCCATTTGTTGTGGGTAAAGGGTCTTTGTGGGTTGGCATTGACGGGCACCATGGTGCATGTCTGGCCATCAGTGGGATGCACAGATTCGTGCCTGTGGGCAGCAGTCATCCCCAAGCACCCATGGTCTGTGCTGAGGGGGACCAACCTGCATCCCCTTCTCCATCAGTTGGGGTTTATTTGCTCCCCATCCCTCAGTGGCAGCACTTCCATGTCAGCCTGGTCCATGGAAAGCCGCTCTTCCCCAGCGCCCCATCCCGTGTCTCTCACAGCAGAACAGGGGGGTACAGACATGCAGGAGACCATCACGGCGGGTCCCCACGTCTGCTCCGTGGGCGGGTGTCAAAGCAAGCATGTCTCCAAGGGCTTTGTGTGGGCAAACATCTTGTCGGCGTCTGCCGGTTCCCAGCTCCAGCTGGCGGGTCTGTGGGATGATGGGATTCCTTCCCGGCGCTGGCAAGGGAAGGTTTCGGCAGCGATGGGGATGGCTGAAGCTCAGCGGGTCCTATGGGGAAGAAGAGGTGGGTTTGGGCGCCCGAGGGCAGGGTGATGGGCACCGTCACCGCCTCTCACCCTCCTCATCCCTCCGCAGCCGCTGCCGCTCACTTCAGCTTCTGCCGCAGCCTCCTGGAGCACACGGTGTCGGCCGAGAACCTGAGCTACCGCCTGCAGCGGGCGGCGGGCAGCAGCCTCACCTGGCACGACGGCCGGAGCCAGCGGCCCGATGGCGGCCGCACCGTCAAGCTCCTGCGGCAGCCGGGCACCGAGGGCTCGCAGGTACCCCCGGGCCCCTCTGCATCCCCCTCGACCCTGCTTTGGACCCCCAGACCTTGCCCCATGGCTGCCAAGGGGTTTGCTGCTGCTCGTGTCCCCAGCCCATCAATTCCCTGTGGGAGCATCTCCCCTTTCCCTGCAGGGTCAGGCCTGTAGATCCTGTATTGTTGGAAGCTCTCATGATTATTGGGGGTTTAATGATAGAAATATATATAAATATGATTTAATTATCACACTGCCAGGGATGGGGCAGCCACAGCTCCTCTGGGCACCCTGTGCCAGCACCTCAGCACCTTCATTGTAAAGGACTTCTCCCTAATGTCTCATCTCAGTCTCTCCTCTGGCAGGTTCAAGCCATTCCCCTTGGCCTGTCCCTACATCCCTTGTCCCAAGCCCCTCTCCAGCTTTCCTGCAGCCCCTTCAGGCACTGGAGCTGCTCTAAGCTCTCCCCTTCAGGAGCCTTCTCTTCTCCAGGCTGACCCAGCCCAGCTCCAGAGCAGAGCTGCTCCAGCCCTAGCAGCATCTCTGCATCCATCATGGTTCTCTCCCTCATCTGCCTCTATATGCCTCCCAGAGGGATTTGGTGGGGAGAAAAAGGCTTTCAATGTTCCATAAGCAAGGAAAAACACCCAGGAGAAGGGAGGTGACTCGAGCTGCTCCCAGCGATGGCTCCCACCACGCAGCCACCTCCTGCCTCGGTCCCGGAGCATCCTCCGAGCCCTCCCGCTGCTCTCCTCGACACCAGCGCTCGATATTCACGGCTGAGAGTTTATCGGAGAGACAGCGCGGCTCAGCCGGCTGGAAACCGAGCCGGGATGCACTACACCCCCCTGCCCACCCGGGGAGCACCGGAGCTCGCTTCGGGACCCGCTGGAGGGGAGGAGGATGCTCCCCGAGGCGGCAGCGCAAGGCTTAGGGATGCTGTCCGCGGGGATGCTTAGAGACGGGTCCCCAGAGCGGGGCTGTGTCTGATGGGTGAAGCACCTGCAGACATGAGCAAGGGGAAGTGCAGGTTGTTCGTCCCCTTTTCCCCGCGCCTCGGGGGGTTAGATGGGTAATAGCTGCGGGAAGCCCATGGGATGCTCATGGGAAACTGGCTGTTGCTTGCCCCAGCCCCTCCGCTCCCCATCATCGCTCCTTAGCGAATCCAGATCCAATCACCTCCTCCGCCTCTCGGCGCGCTCAGCCGAGTGTGAAGGAGCCGGCAGCTCCCGGGATGCGCTCGGAAGGGATGGAATTGCCGGGGGTTCCCCCAGAGGTGAGGGTTTGCTTGGGAAAACAAACCGTGCGCGGTGTCTATCACGTCTCCCATCCGCTCTGGGGATGGAATCCGTGGCTGTGATTCACAACCTCCCCGCTTTGCCTTCATCCCTCTCACTCTGATGATCCCAGGCGAGTTCTCCTTGAGGAAAAATCCCTTTCCAAGCCCACATCCTCCTCTGGGCACAGGCAGCAGCCCCTGCCGTGCTGGCCAGGCTCCATGGGGTGCCCAGTGCCCTGCATGGGACCGGGGAGGGGGACATCCCAGACCCCGCTGCCTCCTCTCTGGCATCTTTCAGGGATGTCATTAGTTTCAATAACCGCGGGATGTCTGGAGTCCCTGTTACACTAATTATCACTGCTCCTCCATTAGACACACTTCATTAGCCATGATCACACATGGAGGTGGCTGTTGCCATACTGTGGTTCAAGCACTACCACCCTTTCCCATGCTGGTGTGTCCCCGAGGCTCGAGTCGCTGTTGTCTGGATGAGGGAATGGGGCTATGGAGCAGCTCAAAGGGACACGGGCTGCTCCAGTGGGCAGCTCAGAGGTGGCTTTAGGTGCCCATGGAGCTGCAGGACCTCACAGCTCAGGGCTGAAGGAGGCTGAGATGGAGAGGAAGGGATCATCCCTAGTGCTCCAGGGCACCAGCTGGCTGCTTCCATGGGGGGTTCCGATGGGATGGCTTCGCACTGGTACCCACTGCCCCCCAAGGACCTCACCGGTTTCATCCCTCCTGAGAGCTGCCAGCAAGAGCCCTTCTCTGCCCAGTAAGGGGGAGACCCTGGGGAGCCCAGAATGGCTCCTGTGGGGGTCTATATAAGGCAGGACCCCCACTTTGCCCTCCCATCCCCAGTGCCCCACCTCCCGCACCAGTTCTGATGCTGCTGTTTCCTGGGGATCTCCCAGGACTGAATCCCACTGATCCTCTCCCCTCCTGCTCCCACAGGGCCGTGCCTGTGACCACTATGGCATCTACCACACCAGCCCCACGCTGGGCAGCCTGGCCAAGCCGGTGGTGCTGTGGACCCAGCAGGATGTGTGCAAATGGCTGAAGAAGCACTGCCCGCACAACTATCTCATCTACGTGGAGGCCTTCTCCCACCACGCCATCACGGGTACGGTTCAAACCCCAATTAACAACCAGTACTAATCACCGTTAGCACGTGGGGAATAGCTGTTGGCAGGTTTGTGGTGCAGAAGGAGGATGTAACCCCAGTTGTGTCCCTTATCCCTACGGAGATGCAGCCAGGGGAGAGCTACCCTATGGCATCAGGGATGGGGACACCCATATTTCAATTGCTCAAGGGAGATCCTGGTTTATAAGATGGGGAAGAATCTTCTCTTATATTTAAGAATAAGAATACCTTTATAGTTCTTTATATACTGAAGGTTTCTGTGGAAGAGGAAAGATCCCAGCCCTGCTGAAATCCAAGCTGCAAATGGCTTTGCCCAGGTCTGAAGCCAAGTTTACCTCTAGGACCTGCTCCCTCCCCTTTCCCCCTTGAGTACAGTGTCTTTGTCTTCTATACACGAGCATCATCCTGGTACAACATGTATGTGAGCGGGCAGAGCTCTGCCAGGGCCAGGAGAAAGCAGCAGGGAAGCGAGCACCGGAGCTGCCCCGGAGGGATGCAGGGCCCTAATGCAAGAGCTCAGGCAGCCCTCGCACGGGGAACAAAGGCAGCATTAGCAAATGTAGGCTGAGAACCAAGGACAAAAACCCTGATAGCCCCCGGACCAGAGGAGAGTGGCCGGGGACGTGGTGGCAACGCTAATGCATTGCGATGGGTACCCCCACTCCCTCGGGACACCCGCTTGGAAAAGCATCTCCTGATGCGGGAGGTGGAGCGGAGAAGTGGAAAGCTCCTGCCTGCGGGGATGGGGGATGTGGTTGCTGGAGCAAGGGCTTGTCCTGGGGCTGGGCACCTTGAGCTCTCCAAACCCAGGCCCACTTGCAGGGCGTCTCCATCCCGGGTGCTGAAGGAGCGTTTCGGGATCGCTTCCCTTTCCCTGCTCCTTACTCCCCCATGAAGATGGGTTCCCATTGCCACCAGTGGCGCGGTGTCCCGGCTGCGTGGTGCTGAGCGGTGCCTTTGGCAGGTCGGGCGCTGCTGCGGCTGAATGGGGAGAAGCTGCAGCGCATGGGCATCGCTCCCGAGGCGCAGCGCCAGGAGGTCCTGCAGCAGGTCCTGCAGCTCCAAGTGCGCGAGGAGGTCCGGAACCTGCAGCTGCTCAGCCAAGGTAGGGACAACGGGAGGACGAGGGGCTGCAAAGCCCAGTGCCGGGCTGGTTGTGCCCATCCTGCTGCCACTGGGACAAGCGGAGAGGCAGAGGTACCAACCTGCGTGGCACCGGTGCAGATGCAGCACACGGTGTTGGTTTGGGGTGCGTGGGGTGGGGTGAACTTGGATGAGTTGTGGTGCACAGGTTGTGGTGTACGGGGATGGGCTATGGTGAACAGGGATGGGCTATGGTGCATGGGACAGGCTGTGATGCACAGGTTGTGGTGCACAGGGATGGGCTATGGTGAACAGGGATGGGCTATGGTGCATGGGGACAGGTTGTGGTGCACAGGGATGCACAGGGACAGGCTGTGGTGTATAGGATGCAGTGCACAGAGATGGGTATAGTGCATGGGGATAGGCTGTGGTGCACAGGGAGGAGTTGTGGTATATAGGATGCAGTGCACAGAGATGGGTGTAGTGCATGGGGACAGGCTGTAGTACACAGGGAGGAGTTGTGGTCTATAGGATGCAGTGCACAGAGATGGGTATAGTGCATGGGGATAGGCTGTGGTGCATAGGGAGGAGTTGTGGTATATAGGATGCAGTGCACAGAGATGGGTGTAGTGCATGGGGATAGGCTGTGGTACACAGGGAGGAGTTGTGGTCTATAGGATGCAGTGCACAGAGATGGGTATAGTGCATGGGGATAGGCTGTGGTGCACAGGGAGGAGTTGTGGTATATAGGATGCAGTGCACAGAGATGGGTGTAGTGCATGGGGACAGGCTGTGGTGCAGCAGGATGAGCTGTGGTGCACAGGTTGTGGTGCACAGGGATGGGCTATGGTGCATGGGGACAAGCTGTGGTGCACAGGGAGGAGCTGTGGTGTATAGGATGGGGTGCACAGAGATAGGTATAGTGCATGGGGACAGGCTGTGGTGCACAGGGCTGAACTGTGGAGCACGGAGCAGGTTGTGACAGCAGAGGTCATGGTGCACCAGTTGCGGTGCACAGTGATGGGCTGCAGTGCATGGGGGCGGTCTATGGTGCTCTGGGATGAGCTGTGATGCACCAGTTGTGGTGCCCAGGGACAGGGTACAGTGCACAGGTTATAGTGCACAGGAATGGGCTGTGATGCATAACCCAAACCCCACCAGTGATGCTTTGCATCAAGTACCAAGGGTTGGGACCCTCCGTGGCCAGCAGTGAAGGGATGCGCTGGACCGTGCCACCCCGCAGGCTGCTTATCCCTTCCTCTCCCACCTTGTTCCAGCTTCTTTTGGGAATGTCTCCTAGCTGCTCCGTCCTTTTGGCAGATTGCACCAACACTGTGACCCTGGGATGGGCTGTGCAGCGCCGGCACCAGACCTGAGCCATGTGCCTGGAATACCAAGAGGCAGCTTCCGACCCGCTCCGGGCCTTCTCCTCCTTCTTCCGTCTCTTTCTGCCGTACAAACACATCTGGGTGCAGCGATGGATGGTTTCCTCCAGCAGGATCTTGGCTGGAGCAGAAGCAGCCAACCTGCCATTGGGATGAACTCGTGCCCACCTGAGGCTGATGGATCACATGGAAAGAGATGGGAATAAGGAGATGAGGACAGGCAGGGCTCAGCATCATGGGCAACCTGAGTGTGGATGCTCCCGGAGTGGCTCAGAGCCATACACAGGACTGTGAAGCATTATGCACATATCCCAGCACCCGGTGGCTCGTGTCCATACCTTGGAGCTTATATAGGGAGCTTCAGTTGTCTCTTCTGGGCTGCCTTCCAGTGTCCTAGGAGGTAACCTATCAGCAGCAGATGAGGTGACAGGAGCAGCCACCAGCACCCAGCTCCTCTTAGGGAGATGGAAAGGGACTCGAGTCATCGGAGCTGGAAAATGCAGGAGCAAAGGCAGGATGGATCCCAGGAGCTCATCCTTCATCTGGCCTCATGTGCGGGCAGACTGGGGGGGATAATGCAGGGATTGGGTGCTGTGGGGTGAGGTTGGGGACTCCAGGGTGCCAGGTCCCTCCATCGGGCACCCTCTGTGCTCCCAACAGAGCTCTGCTCCTCCGGGCAGTTGCAATGTTCATCCCAACATCCAGGGGCTGGCGACGGTGCCACCGAGCAGGCACCATCCCAATGACCCTCCTCATCATTAAGGTGAAGCAGTGATTGCTGGTACACCCCATCACCACCCAAACGCTCCTGTTTGGAGCCACAGAGCGCTCACACGGGGCAGGTAAGGAACAATGATGTGTAAACCCAAGGGTTTGGGGCAGGGTGGATGCTGTCACCTCCCCATGTTCCCCTTCCAGTGATGAAGGCAGGGCTGTGGGGCTTGGGGGAGTCCCAGAAGAGCAGCACCCTGGGGCATGGGAGCTGGCAGGGTACCAGAGGCTGGTTACCACCGCCTGCTCCTCTGCTGGGAATACAATAAAAGACTGTTATTTTAACTTCTGCTCTCCTGACTCTTCCCACCTCTGATCCCGGTCCCTCCAGCCCTTCCCAGGGATGCTCAGGAGATGTCTACAGCCCAAAATCCCCTGGGAAAAGCATCTCTATAGGGCTAACAAGCTGTGTTAAGTGGGATGCGGGCAGGGTGAAGGCATCCGGCAGTGGAGCCTGGAGCTGGTGTTATCCCAGTGTCCTCCCTGTCCCATTGCTGTCCCATTGCTATCCCATTGCAGTGACACTGCTCCTCAGGTAAGGAGCTGGGAGATTTCCACGGGGTGGGATCAAAGATGAGCTGCAAATGAGTTCTTTGCCCAAACTAGCAAAAATTGGGATTGCATCCAAAGGGTGGGATGCAGGATGCATGGAGCATCCTCAGGCTCTTGCAGCAACAGATGCTCTGGGACCCCATGAGAGGAGCTGCACAAGGCCCAGTTGATGGGAAGGTGTGAGTACCAAAATGTGGCCTCAAACCCTTTCAGTTTGGATCACAGGTTCACCAGCTGATGCTCAGACCCAAGCGGGTGGGCTTCCCTTCCTGCACAGGGTCATTGCCACATGGGCATTGCCCAAGTTTATAGCTCACATCTGTCCCAGCAAACTCTGGTGCTGGTCTGAAAGCAAAGGCTCCGGGTTTCCCAAATCCCAGTTTCCTTCAGCTCAAGATAAAGGCACCTCCTGCTCGATGCTTTCAATGGAGTGACCTGGACCACAGCGACCTCCCTCTCCCCTCTGTGTATGGGTCAGTCCATCCGGACCTCACCAGCGGGTAATCCCCATCTGAGCTTTGCTGCGGTGGTGGTAAAGGGAAGCTGTGATCCCTGGCTCCATCTGCAGGGAGCCAGCTTCAGGGCTTCGCTGTGTGCGGCCCGCAGGACATAGAAATCAGCATTTCCTCCTCTGACCTTTTCAAAAATGCAGCAGAATTGGCTCATTTCAGCTCACTAAAACCTCACAGGCAACAACGGGGCCAGAACGGAGTGAGTTTGAGGCAAAGGAAAGAAAACAAGAGGGAGAAGCCCCATCTCCTCTGCAGCAGTGGTCAGGGGTGGTCTCAGCCACGGGCTCTGCATCAACAGCCACGATAGAGCCACTCACCCATCCCAAACAAGGCAAGATCCATGTTTGCTCCTTGTTATCCCCTTATGTGGAGAGCGGGATGAAGCCACATCCATCCTGAAGCAGCCCCATAGGAAACCATGAAGCGTTCAAGCCCGGATGGACCAGAGCTAAGGGAAGGCCGAGCAAGGAGAGCCGTGGCCATGAGCTGGGTTAGTCCCCAGCCATGGGTTCGGTGTCAGCACTGATTGTGGGTGCTGGGGGGCAGCGGGAGCGGTGCTGGGGGTGCCCGTGGAGGGAGCAGCATCCCCAAGGGCAGACGATGGCTGCCGTGCCGGGCTGCGGGTGAGGAGCATCGTTAGAGGGAGATGCTGAGCTTCGCTCCAGAGCTGCACAGGGCAGAATCGGCTTCTCCGGCTCCAGGGCTGCGCTCACGCCGCAGCTTGGTGATGGCTCTGATGGCAACGCTGCTGGGGTGCATGGAGACGTGCAGGGGATGCCCCGACCCCCTGCAAAAGCAGGTCCCTGCCTGGTGCTGCCCCCAAAACCCGCTGTGGGTCCCTGCATGTGCCGGGTTCATGCGTGCCCGGCTGTGCTCTGGCTCCTCATCTGCACAGAAGGAGGAAGGCACAGAGGAAAGCACAATCCCGGCCTTCCAGTGCCTAAAGGGGTTACAGGAAACCTGGAGAGGGGCTTGGGACAAGGGATGGAGGGACAGGCCAAGGGGAATGGCTTGAACCTGCCAGAGGGGAGACTGAGATGAGCTCTTAGGCAGAAGCTCTTCCCTGTGAGGGTGCTGAGGCGCTGGCAGAGGGTGCCCAGAGAAGCTGTGGCTGCCCCATCCCTGGCAGTGTTCAAGGCCAGGTTGGACACAGGGGCTTGGAGCAAGCTGCTCCAGTGGAAGGGGTCCCTGCCCGTGGCAGGGGTTGGAGCTGGAGGAGCTTTAAGGGCCCTTCAACCCAAACCAGGCTGGGGTTCTATGAACTCCACCTCGGCTGGAGCCCAAAGCATTGTCCCATTGCAGTGTCCCTCTAAGACCCACCTGGGCTTGCTGAGACCCCTCAGCACAGGGCTGGAGGAGCCAAGGGAGGCAATGTTCATGGGTCAGGCAGGAGGGGCCCATCCTGGTCCCCAGCCCCTGCCCTAGCAGGGTCTTCACCAGCTGCATCTTCATCCCTGCGAGGATGTTGATGGTGAAAGCAGAGCATCCTTCCAGGCTGGCCCTGGACCAGTGTCTGGTGCCATCTCATAGCCTTGGCTTGTCCCACAGCACCCAGAGCATGGCTTTGCTTCGGTGGCTCTGGGCATGCAGCAAAATCCATCTGCACACTGGCACTGAGGAAGCACCATCCTCCCCTTGGGCTCCTTGGCAAGCACCTTGGCTGGTGGGTGCTGGAGGGAGATGGGTGCTCAGGCTCCTCTCTGGACCAAGGGACAGCTCGATCACTCCTCAGCTCTTCCCGAGCAAGAAAAACGCCTTCTATTTATCTAGCACTTACCTGGCAGTGGAATCCCAGGCACTGCCCCCAGACAAACAGCCCCAGACAATGAAAGGCAGATGAATCAGGCACAGATTCATGCAGTATTAAAACCAGACAACAGTGAAACACAAAACACCAACCCGCAGAAGTGAACCCCGTGCAGCAGGCAAGAGGATGCAGGCAGCAGCACCAGGGCAGGCGATGGCAGCTATCAAAGAGCATCCGATGTTGTCTCTGATCAGCTTTGCTTGTGGCAGTGTTTTGCGGGATGATGCTTTGCTGGCGTCAGAAAGAATGTTCAGCATCTTCTGGTCTTATAAAGCGAAAACCCAGCGATGCCTTTGCAGGGTGAAGGCTGTTTGCAGAGCCTAGCAAGGTTTTCAAGCAAGAAACTAAAATGCCAGCATAAAAAACGCATGTCTAATTTGTCCAAGTAATTACTGAGCCCTGCTTGATGATACAGATCCCTCCAGCTCTGAAGCGCTGCTGATTGTGCCTCTGATGCAGGAAACGATCCCTGTTCCCCCTGACATTGAAATTCATGCTGGGCTATGAGCACTGCCTGTGATTTCCCGGCCGTGTGGGGCTCAAGGACATGATTTGCTGAGCAGAGAGGGATGGCAGTGCCTGGATGGGCTGTGCTGAGCTGGAACCCGCTTGAATCTGAAGCCTCAGTCCCAGTAGATTACACACTTGATCTAATTAGGACCTTGTCCTCCCATCAGGGTACAAACCACCCCAAATCGCTGCGGTTTTGGTGCTCTAAGGCTGCTCAGGATGAGTTTTATTTGCACTGAACACCTGCGGGCACCCGAAGTACCACAGCAAGAATAAAGGAGAAATCTCAGTCACCGGTGGCACGTGCCATGTGTAGGGCCCCATAAGCTCCAGGGAATCATAGAATAGCTTGGGTTGGAAGGGGCCTTCGAAGGTCATCTTGCCCCCTACATGAGTGCTGATATCAATCAGAGCATCCCAGCAGATGCTGGGGGAGATGCTGGCATACAGCAAAACGGCTGCTCCTGGGATGCTCCAGCAGCTGCATCCCAGTGCTGCCAAAGCTCCGGCCGCCTTATCCCAGAGTCCTGGTCCCTATTCCAGCTGCGTGGTGCTGCAGGATGAGGCAGTGCTTGGGGACATGCAGAGTCCTGCAGCGATGTTGGCAGAAGCTTCCGCCCCAGCATGCCCTCGCTGCACGCCCAGCACTAATCAATCTTGATTCATTGCTAATGAACTTGAGAGCAGTGTTGGGATGGATCAGGTGCCACTCAGGGTGAGATGGATAATGTAATTAAGGTTCCCTCAAAGGTCCCGTTTTTCTTACCTTGTTAATTAAGCTGATGTGGAGCCCTCCATGCAGAATGCATAATGAGAGCCTGCCGGAGATGGAGCTGGCTGTTAGCATGAACTGATGCTGGGGAAAACACTGGCCTTAACCATGGGAATGGGGATGCTTTGGCAACTCCATGGGGGTTTGGTTCACCCAGAGCATCCAAGACCCGATCTCTGCTGAGAAACCACCGCATCCTTTGCACCACGCATGCATTGAACAGGGCAGAGCGCACAGGCACAGGGATGCAGGGGGAGATGATGGGCTCATCCCTGCCCATGTAAGCACCACAGCAGAGCTTACAGCTTCCCAAAGCACTGGTTATGGTGCAGGGAGCAGGGCATCGCTCCCAGAAAGCTGGAGCAGCCCCATGGCCTCAGGGAGCAGCACAGGGAGGAAGGATGCTGCTCCACTCCCATGGCCCAGGCACATCCTTGGTACTTGCACTCTGGTGGTGACTTATGACAATGAATTAATGGCCTCTTAATAAGGGTGACAGTTCCCTTAATTAGAAAGTATTGGAGCAGGGATAATTGCTTCATTTCAGTTCTTTTCTCCTGTATTACTTCCTTCATTTCCAGGACCTCATCCTCAGCTCATGGATCGCTGCCCTGCATCCCTGGAGCCAGAAACGCTCCCGGGAAGGATGGAGAGGGGTGGATGTGGGTACAGTTGCAACACTGGTTAAAGCAGGTCCCTTTGGC